TGGCTCAGAGCCTGACGCGGGGCTCGAACTCACGGACCGCGAGATCGTGACCTGGCTGAAGTCGGACGCTTAACCGACTGCGCCACCCAGGCGCCCCAAACATTAAAAAAATTTTTAAAAAGAAAATAAATCTAGAAGTCTGTTGTAAACTATATCATACTATTGAAATGGTGGTTTGGGGTGCCTGGCTGGCTCAGTCAGTGAAATGTGCACCTCTTGATCTCGAGGTCATGAGTTTGAGCCGCACATTGGGTCTAGAGATTACTTAAAATAAATAAATGAACTTAAAAAAAATTAAAAAAAGTAGTGGTGTTTTTTTGTTTGTTTTTGTTTTTATTTTTTTCAATGAACTAGTAGGACAATAATGCTGCTTTTAACCTTCAGATGTTTTTTTTCTTGTTGAATACTTTGAAAACACTCAGGTTTGTTACATGTAATATAAACATATTTCAAGATGGTATTTAGTTTTCAGACTGAAAATGTGAGATTTGACATCTAACTTTAACTATAAAAGTTTACTGGGAATATATGTTAAAATACTCCATGTGTCCTAATTCTATTTTGCTTGTAAAAAAGTATACCTAAGTTTTATAATTTTAAAAAGTTATATAGAAAATTACTTAAAATTTGCTTAAATTATATTGGTTTTTATACCTCCTGAATTTCAAAAATGTTTGCATGTAGATAATAGGTAACTGCATAAGTGTCATAGTTGAACTTAGTTTAATCAAATTAATGTTTTAAAATACAACATTACTTTGAATAATGTGAAAAGTATATCTTAATTATTTAAGCTTTCCTTTGTGTTCTAGCATATTCCATTCAGGGCCAGAGTGTTATGATGATAAGTCCATCAAGTGAATCTCACCAGCAAGTTGTGGCAGTTGGTCAACCTCTGGCAGTCCAGCCTCAAGGAACAGTAATGGTGAAGGACTTTTCTTACCTTAGTTACCAATTAACTATCCAGCAAAATTATTATACCTTTCTTTTTTTATTTTTTAAATCCAAGTGAGTTAACATGTAGTGTAATAATGGTTTCAAGAATAGAATTTAGTGATTCATCACTTACATATAACACCTAGTGCTCATCCCAACAAGAGCCCTCCTTAATGCCCATCACCCATTTAGTCTATTCCCCCCATCCAACACCTCTCCAGCAACCCTCAGTTTGTTCTATACTTCAGAGTCTCTTATGGTTTTCCTTCATCTCTATTTTTATCTTATTTTTCCTTCCCTACCCCTATATTTTTCTTTTTTGTTTCATAAATTCTACATGAGTGAAATCATATGGTATTTGTCTTTCTCTGACTTATTTCACTTAGTACAATATACTCTCGTTCTATCCATGTTGTTGCAAATGGCAAGATTTCATTCTTTTTTGATTGCTGGGTAATATTCATTGTATGTATATACCACATCTTTAAAAAAAATTTTTTTTTAATGTTTGTTTATTTTTGAGAGAGATAGACCAAGTGCAAGCAGGGGAGGGGCAGAGAGAGAGGGAGACACAGAATCCGAAGCAGGCTCCAGGCTCTGAGCTGTTGAGAGAGGCTCGAACTCACAGAGAGATCATTACCTGAGCTGAAATCAGATGCTTAACCGACTGAGCCACTCAGGTGCCCCTATATAAACCACGTCTTCTTTATCCATTCACAATTAATGGACATTTGAGCCCTTTCCATACTTTGACTGTTGTTGATAGTGTTGTAAACATTGGGGTGCATGTGCCCCTTCAAATCAGCATTTTTGTATCCTTTGGATAAATAGCTAGTATGCAATTGCTGGATTGTAGAGTAGCTCTATTTTTAATTTTTTGAGAAATCTCCGTACTGTTTTCCAGAGTGGCTGCACCAGTTTGCATTCCCACCAGAAATGCAAAAGTGTTCCCTTTTCTCCTCAACCTTGCCAACACCTGTTGTTCATTTTAGCCATTCTGACAGGTGTGAGGTGGTATCTCGTTATGGTTTTGATTTGTATTTCTCTGATGATGAGTGATGTTGAACATCGTTTCATGTGTCTGTAAGCCATCTGGATGTCTTCCTTGGAAAAGTGTCTGTTCATGTCTTCTGCCCATTTCTTCACCGGATTATTGGTGTTTTGGATTTTTAGTTTGATAAGTTCTTTATAGATTTTGGACCCTAACCCTTTATCTGATATGTCGTTTGGAAATATCTTCTCCCATTCCATCGGTTGCCTTTTAGATTTGTTGACTGTTTCCTTCCCTGTGCAGACTTTTTATCTTGATGAGGTCCCAACAGTTCTTTTTTGATTTTGTTTCCCTTGCTTCCAGTGACATGTCTAGTAAGGAATTGCTGTGGCCGAGGTCAAAGAGGTTGTTGCCTGTTTTCTCCTCCAGGATTTTTATGGTTTCCTGTCTTAAATTCAGGTCTTTCATCCGTTTGAGTTTATTTTTGTGTATGGTGTAAGAAAGCAGTCCAGATTCATTCTTCTGGATGTCAGTGACCAGTTTTCCCTATACCATTTGCTGAGGAGACTGTCTTTTTTTTCCATTGCATTTTCTTTCTTGCTTTGTCAAAGATTACGTGGCCATACATTTGTGGGTACATTTCTGGATTCTCTATTCTGTCCCAATGATATATGTGTGTGTGTTTGTGTACCATACTCTCTTGATGACTACAGCTTTTTAATACATCTTGAAGTTCGGGATTGTGATGCCTCCAGCTTTGGTTTTCTTTTTCAAGATTGCTTTGGCTATTTGGGATCTTTTTTGGTTCCATACAAATTTTAGGATTGTTTGTTCTAGCTCTGTGAAGAATGCTGGTGTTATTTTGGTAGGGATTGCATTAAATGTGTAGATTGCTATGGGTAGTATTAACATTTTAACAGTATTTGTTCTTCTGACCCATGAGCATGATGTTTTCCATTTCTTTGTCTCTTCTCAGTTTCTTTCATAAGCTTTCTATAGTTTTCAGCATACAGATCTTTTACCTCTTTGGTTAGGGTTATTCTTAGGTATTTTATGATTTTTGGTACAGTTGTAAATGAGATCGATACCTTGATATTCTGTTTCATTATTGGTGTATAGAAATGCAGCCAATTTCTGTACGTAGATTTTATATCCTGTGACTTTACTGAATTCATGTATCAGTTCTAGCATTTTTTTGGTGGAGTCTTTCAGGTTTTCCACATAGAGTATCATGTTGTCTGTGAAGAGTGATAGTTTGACTTCTTCCTTGCCGATTTGTATGCCTTTGTTTCTTTTTGTTGTCTGATTGCTGAGGCTAGGATTTTTAGTACTATGTTGAATAGTGGTGAGAATGGACATCCCTATTATGTGTCTGACCTTTGGGGGGAGGCTCTCAGATTTTCCACATTGAGGATGATATTAGCTGTGGGTCTTTTGCATATGGCCTTTATGATGTTGAGGTGTGTTCCTTCTATCTCTACTTTTTTGAGGGTTTTTATCACGAAAGAATGCAGTATTTTGTCAAATGTTTTTCCTGCATCTATTGAGAGGATCATGTGGTTCTTATCCTTTCTTTTATTAATGTGATGTGTCACGTTGAATGATTTGTGGATATTGAACCACCGCTGCATCCCAGGAATAAATCCCACTTGATTATGGTGAATAATTCTTTTAATGTATTGTTGGATTCAGTTTGCTAGTATCTTGTTGAGAGTTTTCGCATCCATGTTCATCAGGGAAATTGTTCTATAATTCTCCTTTTTAGTAGGGTCTTTGTCTGGTTTTGGAATCAGGTAATGTTGGCCTCATAGAATGAGTTTGGAAACTTTCTGTCCATCGTATTTTTGGGAACAGCTTGAAACGAATAGGTATTAACTCTTTTTTGAATGTTTGGTAAAATTCCCGTGGACATCCATCCAGCCCTGGACTCTTGTTTGTTGGCAGATTTTTGATGACTGATTGAATTTCTTTACTGGTTATGGGTCAGTTCAAATTTAGTATTTCTTCCTATTCCAGTTTCGGTAGTTTATATGTTTCTAGGACTTTATACATTTCCTCCAGATTGCCCAATTTGTTGGCATTCAATTGCTCAAAATATTCTCTAATCATTGTTTGTATTTCTGCAGTATTGGTTGTGATCTCTCTGTTTTCATTAGTGATTTTATTTATTTGGGTACTTTCCTTTTTCTTTTTGGTAAGTCTGATTATTTTTATTAATTCTTTCAAAGAAACAGCTTCTGGTTTTGTTGATCTGTTCCCTTTTTTTTGTTTTTTGTTTGTTTATTTTAATTTCAGTATTGATTTCTGTTCTGATTTTCATTATTTCCCTTCTCCTGGTTTTGGGCTTTATTTTCTCTTCTTTTTTCAGCTCCTTTAGATGTAAGGTTAAGTTGTATATTTGAGACATTTCTTCCTTATTTAAGAAGGGCTGAATTGCTATATACTACCCTCTTATGACGGCCTTTGCTACTTCCCAAAGGCTTTGGACTGTCGTGTTTTCATTTTCATTGGCTTCCATGTACTTTTTTTAATTTCCTCTTTAATTTCTTGGTTAACCCATTCTTTCTTTAGTAGAATGTTCTTTAATCTCCAAGTATTTGTGATCTTCCCAAAAATTTTCTTGTGGTTGACTTCAAGTTTCATAGCTTTGTGATCTGAAAATCTGCATGGGATGATATAGGTTTTTTTGTATTTGTCGAGGGCTGATTTGTGTCCCATTATGTGATCTACTCTGGAGAATGTTCCATGTGCACTTGAGAAGAATGTGTACTCTGCTGCTTTAGGATGAAATGTTCTGAATATATCTGTTAAGTCTATCTGGTCCAGCATGTCATTGTTTCCTTGTTGATTCTCTGCTTAGATGATGTGTCCATTGCTAGAGCGGGGTGTTAAATTCCCCTACTATTACTGTATTATTATTAATGACTTTCTGTATGTTTGTGATGAATTGATTCATGTGTTTGGGTGCTTTCAAGTTGGCATAAATATTTACAATTGTTCGATCTTCTTGGTGAATAGACTCCTTAATTATGATATAATGCCCTTCTTCATCTTTTGTTACAGTTTTTGTTTTAAAATCTAGTTTGTCTGATATAAGAATGGCTCCTCTGGCCTTCTTTTGATGTCCATTAGCATGATAAATAGTTCTCCATCCCCTTACTTTCAATCTGCAGGTGCCTTTAGGTATAAAATGAGTCTCTTGTAGTAAGCATATAGATCAGGTCTTGTTTTTTTATCCATTATGATACCTATGTCTTTTGATTGGAAGATTTAGTCTACTTACATTTAGAGTGGTTATTGAAAGATATGAATTTTGTGCCTCTGTGTTACCTGTAGAGTGGTGTCTCTGGTGACATTTTCCAGTCCTTTCTAGTCTTTGTTACTTTTGGTCTCTTTTGTTTTGTTTCATTTTTTTTCTCCAAAGAGTCCCCCTTAAAATTTCTTGCAGGGCTAGTTTAGTGGTCATGAACTCCTTTAGTTTTTGTTTGTCTGGGAAACTCTGTCTCTCTATTCTGAATTACAGCCTTGCTGGATAATTCTTGGCTGCGTATTTTTCCAATTCAGCACGTTGGATATTTCCTGCCACTCCTTTCTGGCCTGCCAAGTTTCTTTGGACAGATTTGCCATGAATGTAATCTGTCTTTCCTTGTAGGTTAAAGACTTTTTTTTTCACTTTCTGCTTTCATGATCATCTCCTTGTCTGTGTATTTTGTGAATTTGACTACAGTATGCCTTGGTGATGGTTAGTTTTTGTTCAGTCCACTGGGAGTTCTCTGTGCTTCTTGTATTTTGATGTCTGTGTTCTTCCCCAGATTAGGAAAGTTTTTAGTTATAATTTGCTCACATAAACCTTCTGCTCCTCTTCTCTCTCTTCATCTTCTGGGATTCCTATGATATGAATATTATTCCTCCTTAATAAATCTTTCAGTTCTCTTAAGTCTTGTATGGTGATCTTTCGCCTTTGTTTTCCTCTTTTTTTTGCTTCATTATTTTCCATAATTTTATCTTCTGAATTACGGATTCACTGCTCTGCTTCATCCATCTTTGCCGTCATATCATCCATTTGAGATTGCATCTCGGTGATAGCATTTTTAATTTCATCCTAACAGGATTTTAGCTCTTTTATTTCTGCAGAAAGAGATTTGCTGGTGTCTTCTATTCTGTTTTCAACCCCAGCTAGTATTCTTATAATCATGGTTTTAAATTCTAGTTCAGACTGTCTTACTTATATCTGTGTTGATTAAATCCTGGCCATCATTTCTTCCTCTTCTTTCTTTTGGGGTGAATTTCTCATCATGTCATTTTGAAGGAAGAAAAAAGTTAATAAGAAAGTAATATTAAAACAAAACAAAATCAAATAAAGGAAGCCAGATCTTAGGTGTATTTCAGTCTTCTTGTGGAGAGAGGTTTGATAGAAAAAAGAGGGGAAAAAAAGTAAAATTTTTTAAATTAAATTAAATTAAAATTTTAAATTAATTAAAAAATGTTTAATAATAGAATAAAATAAAATAGGATAAAAATTGCTCTTTATGTATCCAAGAAAGAGAAAGAAAAGAAAGAAAAAAGAAAACAGCATAAGCAAAAATAGAAACAAAGAAAACAAACCAACAAACAAGCAAACAGAACGAAACCTGAATAAAGTTAAATCCAGTTTCCCTAGAACTGAAACTTTTTTTTTTTAATTTTTTTAATGTTTATTTATTTTTGAGACAGAGAGAGACAGAGCATGAACGGGGGAGGGTCAGAGAGAGAGGGAGACACAGAATCTGAAGCAGGCTCCAGGCTCTGAGCTGTCAGCACAGAGCCCGACACGGGGCTCGAACTCACGGACCGCGAGATCATGACCTGAGCCGAAGTCGGGCGCCCAACCGACTGAGCCACCCAGGCGCCCCTAGAACTGAAACTTTGATGCACTCTATGGTCAGTAGACTAAGCACGTGGAGAGGATTTGTGCTGGTCTTCTGGGGGATGTCTCTGGAGGACGCAGGTGGGCAGGGCTTGGTGTATCAGCTGTATTCTTCACTTGGTGGTGCTGCTTAGCTCAGTGGGGTCAATCCTGGTCTGTGAATGCATGGGCGAGGGGTGAAAATAGCTTAACCCAGCTCTCTAGTCTCTGGATTAGGAATTTCGTGCCCTCACAGATGCGTGATCAAGTACCCCTCCTTTGTATCAGGCTTCTGTCTTCTCCTTGCCTTTACCCTGTCTGTGTCCAAGCTGTCTGCCTGCCAGGTAATGCCTCCCTCCACAGTTTTATCTCAGATGGGGCTGTTTCAAAACCCCATACTTCACAGACACCTTCATCTTTGACCTGCACTGATTCTCTGGGGGGGGGGGGGGGGTGTTTCGCTGAGCAATTACCAGATGCTGGCTTTCCCTAGAAGATATTTGTGCGATCATGCAGTGGCAGTGGCTCAGAGTTTTTGGTAAATCATACCCCAGCCAGTTTTGCTGCACTCTGGTGCCTTTGTTCTACTATCAGTAAATGTGACAGCTCTCCAGGGTCCGCTGGGAGTTTTGCCAATGGGGAGGACAGATAGCCTCTATCAAATGCACTCCAGACAGGAGAACCGCTTCTCTCCGTGTTGCACATGGATCCCTCAGTCCACATTGCCTATTCCTGGGGATTTGCCCTACTTCCTCACTGGAGCATTGTCAGGCACTGATCTCTGAACCTTCAGACATTGCGCTCCATTGTTTATAGAACCCTGGTGGTATTGAAACCCTCTCCCCTCTCTCCATTAATGGTTTTGGAGAACAGATGTTTTGTCCAGTTCCCTGTGAGTGTTCTCACTCTTTCCTTCTCTTTCTCTCCAGCTTCTGTCGGGGTGGGGAGTGCTTTTCTTGAGCAATCCTGATGCTCTGCACTCTCCCCCTTTCTCTGCCCTCTCTCTGTGAAAATGGCACCCTACTCTGCAGCTCCACGGTTTTTCTCTCCCCTATTTCACCCCTCTGCATGACATTCCTGCCAAGTTCTCTGGCTCATATTATGCAAATTGTTGCATTTATCATGAGATCAATTTCTTAGGTGTTCAAAATGTCTTGATGCTGATCTAGCTGTGTTTCAGGGACAAGACAAGCTCAGGGTCCCTATACTACTCTGCCATGTTAACTCTGTCGCCTGTACCTTTCTTTTTGTTTGCCAGATTTTGTTGTTATTTATTTTACTTGGATGATTGATACCTTTAGAAGACAACTGACATTATCATAACAATGATGGTAACACAATTTTTAAGCAAATTAATTTGTTCTATACAAACCATCCACACCTATTTTCTTAATATATTTGGTTTTTTATTTAAAAAAAATATTTGAATATGATAATCCTACTTTACGAGAATGCATAACAATTCTTACAAATATATATTTATTTAAATATAGCTCACTTCCAAAAATATCCAGTGTATGAGGACTTTACTTAACTTGGCACACTGCCATGGAGCTGTTCTTGGAACATCATGGCAACTTGTCTTGGCGACCCTACAGGTATGTTGTAGGCTCTGAGTCAAAGATCAGTGTTCTTTTTATATCTAGGTGCAACCAATTAAATTAAGCAATACCTGTTGGTAGTTTGGGGAAGCCTAAAGAATAGACAGTAAGTTTGAAGAAGGAAAAGTTGGAAAAGAAAAAAGATGTGGCTTCTCTTAATGGCCTAAGTTCTGCCTATGCTTGGTGTTTTAAGTATTTTATATGAATAGCAGTTACCGATTTAAATTTAATTATTGGAAACCTACTTCTGATTTTAATTTTAGTTATTAAGAGTTACTAATGACTTTTAATTTTAGTTATTAGGGTTTTTACAATTTTACAGATTTAGTTATTTTTTTTTTGTTTAATTTTACAGCATCTTGTATGGATTCTGGGATTAAAGCCTAGTAGTGGTGGTGCCTTGAAACCTGGGAGAGCTGTAGAAGGACCCAGTACAGTAAGCTGTAGTTAGTCTTACTGAATTTGTGCTTCTCAATATGTTCATATGTTACATTTAATTGTACTCTTCTCTTAGGTTCTCACAACAGCAGTGATGACAGATTTACCAGTGATTTCCAATATACTTTCAAGATTGTTTGAAAGCTCACAGTAAGAATCAGTTTTTGACTCTAAAATACAGAGAACAAACAGAGAGTTGCTAGAGGGGCTGTGGGGTGGGGGGGATGGTCTAAATGGGTAAGGGGCATTAAGGAATCTACTCCTGAAATCATTGTTGCACCATATGCTAACTAACTTGGATATAAATTAAACAATAAATAAATTAAAAAAAAAAAAGAATCAGTTTTTGAAATTGAAAGAAATATTATTAGCTGTATGTTTTAGATCAGAATGTCATACTTCTTCATTTTCATTATAGGTATCTTGATGATGTGTCATTGCATCATTTAATAAATGCACTTTGCTCCTTATCCCTAGAAGCAATGGATATGGCCTATGGAAATAATAAGGTGTGATATTCTTTCTGTTTTAAATATGGTACATTATTGAGTTAAATAAGATGTACACTCATAGTGATCTTAGTATTTTAGTAGTGGGACTAATACTTTCTTCCAGTCTGTGTTGAGCTTTGCCATTTAGGGTTATTGGTTGAAGAGGGAGTGAAGAGGACATGACGTGGTTTGTGATATGTCTAATGTATTGTAAATTTAAATTGTGTCCATTTCTGTTGTGTACTGAATATTTTAAGAAACATTTTTTAAAAGAATATATGTAATACCACATTTATAAATGAATTCCATAGAATGTCACAATAATATTTGTAATTTCAATTTATGATTGGGACAATACAAGGTTTAAGTCAAGCAATATATATATGTCTCAATTTCTCTTGCCTTCATTGGGATGGAAATAAGGAGCTAATCATTTCTTAGTAAAGGTAATGATTCTCCCTACCTTGAAAATTAAATTTTTCCTTTACTCATTGGCTGAATGAATAGAATATAGTACTTTTGAATATTGGCATTCAAGAGCATTTCTTTCTGTAATCAAAATATCATTTTCTATTATACTTGGACAGCACAAGAATATATGGATTTGTTTATATTTTAGAAATTATGTAAAATAAAATGCCTTCTGTGTTTTAAAATAAATATGGTGTAACCATTTACAAATAAGTGAAGATACCTAGAACATGATTAAAAAGCAGAGAATGCAGCTTTGTAACTTGTTTAACATGTATCTGTAAGATCCAAAATTATGTTGTCTGCTTAGTCTTCAATTATAATTCTTTGTATTGTGGCTTGTCATCTGTAGGACTCATTTAAAGATTAACCAATGAGGTCTTATTAAGGAGAAGTTTCATATATTATAGCATATAGTTAGAGTATTACATAAACATGTAGGTGTTTGAAAATATGTTTTATACTTTACTCCAAATTAAGGCATGGGTAATATAAAATACAGTAAAGTAGTAAATTTCTTGATATCCTTAATAATCCTGAATCTTTAAGATTAACTCAACGCACAAATATATTTTTAATAGAGTACTTTAATGAAATCTGAGCAAGTTTCTGTGGTAATGTCTTGAGAATTTACGTATTAACTCAGTAACCATGGTATGTGTACTGTATACATGATAGTGCTAAGAAATATAAAGGATATTTAAGATTTTTACTTTCTAACAGCATGTGAACTACTGGCTCATGGTTAAGTGGCAGTTTAAATGGTATAAGAGTCTAAATAAATAGTTATAGATACTAAGTGATGTGAGACATATTCTATGAATCTTTAGTGTCCTTTTATAGAAGATGTTTCTAAGTGCATATTTCTACTAAAAGAATTAAGATTAATTAACATGAATTGGTTTGTGATTGGAGGTGGATATTGAAGGAATGGTATAATTTACATAAGAAAGAGCAAGTTCATGGAAATCAAAAGAAAAATGTTACAAGAAGTCAAGATCAATGAGAATTGAAAAAAAATAGGGATTTGATGTTTATAATTATGCTGGAAGAATACAATTTCAAGAGAGTGGTTGGAGCAGATATATTTCAGGGAGGCTTAGAAGGAACAAATGTTGAAAAAATGGATGCGTTGGAATGGAGATTATGTACCTGAGAATGGATTCTCGTTTCTCTCTTTTAGGATTTAATATTGTAAAGCGAAGTGATAAATGTGGAATGGAAATAAAAATTTATAAAAATATAAACTATAAAAATTTTAGACAAATACGGCCAGGCTGACCTTTGCTGCATGTATTAATGTTGTAATGTTATAAAAATATTAAAAAATGTTTAAATGGAGGCAAAGAACAATTTATTATTCAGTTGTGCTTTTTATAAAAATTATTATAAATATGCAGATGTTAAAATTAGAAACTTTTATATTTTTCTTCATTATTAAAAAAAACTTTGACAATGTCAGCTCTTCTGAGTGAGTTAAACATTCTAGGGATTAAAGATATATATATTGGGGTACCTGGGTGGCTCAGTCAGTTGAGCATCTGACTTTGGCTCAGGTCATGATCACACAGTTCGTGAGTTCTAACCCTGCATTGGGCACTGCGCTGACAGCTCAGAGCCTGGTGCCTGCTTCAGATTCTGGGTCTCCCTCTGTCTCTCTGCTTCTCCCCTGCTCATGATCGCTATCTCTCTCTCTCTCTCTCTCTCTGTCTCTCTCTCTGTCTCTCTCTCTCTCAAAAATAAATAAACATTAAAAAATTTTTTAAAAATTAAAATGAAAGATATATATATTAGTGTTCTTTAGTGTGGATTTAAAGTCATCTCATTTTTGGTCCTCATTTCAGGAATTTTTGCTAATGTGTTGAGAAGTAGCTTATGATGAAGCTTGCAAATTCTTCCCTGAAAGAAGGTGTGGTGGATGATACTTGTGCAGACATATTACCAAACTCAGTATAACAATGACAAAAATATTCTTCATAGTTTACTGTATGCCAGGCACTTAAATGTTTAATTTAATAATTTAAAACAACTCTGTGAGGTTTGGCGGTAGTTTCACCTTTTTACAGATGAAATATGAAAATAGAGAGTTTAAGTAATCTGCCTGGGATCACATATTTAGTAATTGTTAGAACTTGGATTTGAACCCACATAGGTCTCATTCTAGAGCTTTATTCTTAACCACTTCACTAGTGGCTGTAACTTTTGTGTGCATCAAAGTCTGCTGTGGAGTTTTTTAAAAATGCAAATGCCGGGAATACATTCTAGGCTTTCTGAATAACAATCTGGTTATGAGGTGTGGGCATTTGTACATTTAAAAACAAAAAATTTTTTTTGATGTTTATTTATTTTTGAGAGGGAGAAAGAGAGACAGAGTGTGAGCAGGGGAGGGGCAGAGCGAGAGGGAGACAGAATCCGAAGCAGGCTCCAGGCTCTGAGCTTGTACATTTTTTTAAATGCCACACGAGTCCTGTGTTCATCCTGGTTAGAATTAGCAGAAGAATGGGGTGGCTGGCTGGCTCGGTTGGTAGAGCATCTGACTCTTGATCCCAGGGTTGTGAGTTCAAGCCCATGTTGTGAGTTCAAGCCATGGGGCTAAGAAGGAGGAGGAGGAGGCGAAAATCATACTAGGCAACATTTATGAGGACTTATTATCTGCCAGATACTTTCTAACGTGTGGTTGTCTCTGTATATTATTACCCCATCGTATAGATTTAAAAAATTTTAGTGAGGGGCGCTTGGGTGGCCCAGTCGGTTGGGCGTCTGACTTCGGCTCAGGTCATGATCTCATGTTCTGTGAGTTCGAGCCCTGCTTCCGGCTCTGTGCTGACAACTTGGAGCTTGGAGCCTGCTTTGAATTCTGCGTCTCCCTCTCTGCCCCTCCCCTGCCCATGCTCTGTCTCTCTTGCTTTTAAATAAACATTAAAAAAAATTAAAAAATTTTAGTGAAAGTAGTAACTTATTCAAGTTACATACCTATTAAGTGGTAGAGTTGAAATGAGGTCCTAGTAGTAACTTATTCAAGTTACATACCTATTAAGTGGTAGAGTTGAAATGAGGTCCTAGTCAATTAAAACTTCACAAATGTCAGTCTTAACCACTGTATCATACTGTTTCTACAATGGTACATTCTTCTACCACACAAATTTTTAGGGTGCCTGTAACATTAGTGCATGCAGCAAAGGTCAGCCTGGCCAAATTTGTCTTAAAACAATACCGATTCCTTTTCTGGTTGGTGAAATGCTAGCAACTGAGGAGAGGGGTTTGTCACCTGTCTCTGGTATTTTTTCTGTTATTTCCTAAACTCACAGTTCCAATATCTGCCTCATTCCTGACTCTATACTTCTTTCCCCTGGTCTCTGTTGTTTCTTTTCGGATTTTTTCATACTTCCTGACATTCACACATAAAACGTGGACATTTGAAGACTGCACTAGTAAGAATATGTATCAATCAGCCTAGGCTGTAAGTCTGAGATCAAGATGCCAGCATGGTGGTCCTCAAGTGAGGACTCTTTTCCTGCTTTGAAAGATAGCAGTCTTCTCACTGGGTCTTCACATGGTGGGAAGGAGTGCTCAAGAGCATGCCAGGAAGCTCTCTGGTGTCTCTTCTTTTAAGACACTAATCCTATCTTACCAGAGTTTCACCTTATTACCTCACTTAACCTTGATTACCCCCGTATAGGCCCTATCTCCAGAGACCATCACCTCGGCGGTAGGGTTCAACATAGATATTTTTTAAGGGGACACAGTTTAGTCTATAACAGAATGTATCTTTCCTTCTGGTCAGAAGAGTAGCCACTCTGTGTCTGGAATAATTTTGAATTTTTCACTTTTTTCTCATGAAAGCATTCTCTTCCTAACCAAATTTTATAATTAGAATCTATCCTGGATACTTGAGGGTGGGTTTCAGAAAGTCTTGTCTCATGATAACTAAGGTTCTGTTATGATTATTGCTAATTTATACTAATTATATATTAATTATAGTCATGCTTTTCAGAGTATCGTCAGTTTTATTTATAGTTGAGGTACTAAAAATTTCTTACAATATCAAAATGCAATATGTTTTCTCTCTAGGAACCATCTCTTTTTGCTGTTGCCAAATTGTTAGAAACTGGTCTAGTTAACATGCACCGAATAGAAATTCTTTGGAGACCTCTAACTGGCCATCTACTTGAGGTAACTTCTTTTTTCTTAAATGCTGTATTTACTTTTGTTAAGAATAAAGATAGACACATTGAACTACGGATTCTGGATGACCATGTGAACAATCAACATTAACTTTTTTCCCCCTTGTCTTTATGTCTGTGTATTTCATTAGGGACTAAAGTTTTGCAATGATTGCCTTGGGGAAGGAATAGGTTGGTGTTTTGCACTGATAATGGGTGACACATCAGTGAAATCTCTGAAGTCTCCTCTAGCTGTTAGCTTGGGTCCTCTTTCTTTTGTTACAGAGTCTCTTGATCCACCTCAGTTTCAGCTAGTTCTGAAACTTTAAGGCATTTGGGGCTGAGAGTTCATTATAAACACTGTTCCTTTATAACCTTTCCTGTGATTCTGAGATAGCTCTTCTCTAAAGGGAAAAAGCCTGTGTGGTATCACTAATTGTAGATAGTGCCAGGGAATTTCATCTGGATTTGTATACTCTTGTGTTCAAGTTGGAGTGACTGGTAATAATTAGCTGATTCTCAGTAATGGTTGCTTCTGTTAGTATGCGTGTGTATGTGAACTTTAGGTTTAGTTTCCACGATCATTTTGTAATATTTTAGTAAGCTAGGAAAGGTATTACTCTTCATAAGAGAAACAAATGAGCTTGAACTTTTCTTTATTTTTTTTTCCCCATTTTGTTGGGATTACTTTTATGAATTACTATAGAGGAAAAATGCAGATTTTCTTGTCCTAGACATTCTCATCAAATGGCACAAAAATAAGTTTTTAAAATCTTAGCATAGTATTTGATTATGAGGGTTGGCCTGATTAGGAACCTTAGTATCAGCTTGCCGCTTTTGTTTACTCTGATGATATAATTTACTTTTTTGAAATCCTTTTTTTTCTGTGACTTGTTTAGTTTCATCTTTTATTTTCTGTCTCTCTATTGCTTCCTTTGCCCCTTATACAGAAGGTAAGCTTACTTCCATTTTAGATACAATTTTTTATTCAGCCCTTATTGGTGAACATTTCATATAATTTTTAAAATGTGAAAGAATACAAAATGTTATATTTAAATTTTTCTTTTCTCAGTTGATGTGTGATATGTAGCTTAAGTGTACAAGTTAAATATTTAATTTTTGTTCAATGTTTTGTCTTCAGGTGTGCCAGCATCCAAACTCTCGAATGAGAGAATGGGGAGCAGAAGCTTTAACTTCACTTATTAAAGCAGGATTAACATTTAGTCATGATCCTCCACTTTCACAAAACCAGGTAAAAAAAAAAAAAGTTACCTTGTTTTAAAAAAATTTTTAATGCAAAATCATCCTCTCCTATGTGTAGTCTTTTTCTTAATTTATCAAATCGATGATATTCTGAGAATGGGTGTTGTTTAATATTTTATATGTAGGCCATGGATATCATACAGAAGACTGGTATGTCTGGATTTTTAGGATTATCTTTATTAAAAGTCATGAAAACCTTCTTGTGAATGACACAGAATTAAAGCTGCTAAATTACTTAGAATTGGGCTCCCATTGTGGAAGTTTTCCCTGTTCATGCATTGCTAAGACTTTATTTTGAGGCCCTACTTTATTAGCCTCCTTACTTTGGTCCCTAACTATTCCTAATTTTTTTCTCTAATTATCCTTACATGGGGAGAAAAGCAAGTGGTAGAAGAGACAAGTACAATAAAATAGGTTTTTATTTTTAAATAATTTAAAAAGTTCCTTTGTACTTCCCCAGTTTATTTTTGTCTTGAGTCCTTTGTCCTGACTCATATAATCATTTATAGATCTCTTATACGGTTTTTTAAAAGTCCACTGAAGTTCTTTTGTTTGAAGATTGAGTAGGAATGAAGATGGTGATTGTATTCTATAAATTTACTCAATACATAGTTACTGAGTACATACAAGATGCTACCCAGTGATTTAGCTCTTGGAATAGAATGATGAGCAAGACAGAAAAGATATATGTTCTTATACAGCTTAAATTTTAGTGACTTCATATTTTTTTCCTGTTACAGTTTAAGTTTTTTGAAAAGAAAACCCTTATCCAAATCCTATTCACTGTAATACCTGACACATAGGTGAGAGCTTAAATGTTTTTTCAATCAGTGAACCAAATAAATGAATCCTTGAAGAGAAAACAGGTAAAAATGATGCAAGTGCTTTCAGGTCTTGAAAGGACTAGAAAAGAATGCTGTCTTTACTCCAGTGGATTCTAATCGTTTGACTCTGTCTTTGTTAATGGGTACCATACTTACTCACTTTTTAGTAGTATTAAGAATTTTAAATTTAAATGTATGTGATATAGAGGCATTCACTTTTGAATGTCCCCTCTCTGTAAAGAGAGCTTTCCTACTATTCTTCCTTTCTAATTGTATATTCTAATAAACTTTTGCCTGCTGCTCAAAATATTTTGCCTGCTGCTCAAAATAAACAAACAAAACGTGATGTATATTAACAGAGTAAATTATGAAGACAGTTTTAGAAATTGGGGATTATTTCCTCTCTCCAGATATAGCTAGATATATATAGACACATTTCCTTTATTGAGATTAATTTCTATACGGGTCCTTAATTAGTGTCCTTTAACGCATAGTCACTCCATTTAATCTGAAATTTAACATGTTAAAGATAGGTTTTTATTTCTCTTATTTTAAAAAAAGGTATAAATCTCTTAATTACTTCAGAGAAATCAGTGTTTGTTTTAGTAGAAAAGTTTTTATTTACTCTTACAGTCTGAGTGGAGGTGAATTTAAATTTAAAAAGTAACAATAAAGCTTCTCTTTCTAATTAGTTTCCTGCCCTCTTTTCAGAGACTACAGTTGCTTTTATTGAACCCATTGAAAGAAATGTCCAGTATTAACCATCCAGATATCCGACTTAAGCAATTAGAATGTGTGTTACAGATTCTTCAGAGTCAGGGAGACAGTCTTGGGCCTGGATGGCCATTAGTGCTTGGAGTCATGGGAGCAATCAGAAATGATCAAGGGTAAGTTTTTAAAACTAACATCCAGAAAGTAATAGAGGTAAAGAATGAATTCATCCTAAAATGTTGCAGAAGTGGTAATTTTTTATGTATACCCTTCCTGTTTAAGATCTAGAATCATTTTTTCTTAATCCTACCTCCAGTTGGCTGGAGTGAATTATTAGGGCTCACCTTTGTTTTGGAAGGATGGAAAAATTGCTGTTTATTTGACATTTGTACAAGAATACAAAGTTCATAATTAATATAAATGTACCAACCTAAAAAATTTTGTAACACATCCAAAGATTGGGGTTTATATTATTAAAATAAATATTTGATAAGATATAAATTAACACTTAGGACTTCTCTGCATATATTGGGAAATCTAAGAATTTGCTTTTAAGTGACTTTTAAAATTTTATTGTTCATTTATTCTGTGCCTAGTATATTCTAAATACTATGCTTGCTAGTTTCTATGATTACACAGTTGGGTAGCTCTTGCTCTAAAACTAGAATCTTATGGAAAAGGAACAAGGTCTATGTTAGGATCCTAATAAGAATAGTCTGTTATGCTCCAAAGAATAGGATTCCAGTGGGAAGAGCCTGTGTCCCTGGAGTGGGGCTGAGCCAAAATTATGAGGGACCTTACATGCTTTTATAAACTATGTATTTGGATTTGTCCTCAGTCCATTTGAGAGACATTTAGGAGTTTTAAGCAAAGGAACATTGTGATGTGCATTTGAGCTCTATCACTTTAACAGTACCCTGGAGGGGTGGGGGGAAATGAGAGAGCCTGTAGTGCTCTCTAGAGATAGAAAGGAGGAGATGATGGGGCGCCTGGGTGGCTCAGTCAGTTAAGCATCTAACTTCGGCTCAGGTCATGATCTCCCAGTTTGTGAGTTCTAGCCCCGCGTTGAGCTCTGTGCTGACAGCTCAGAGCCTGGAGCCTGTTTTGGATTCTGTGTCTCCCAGTCTCTCTGCCTCTCCCATGCTCATGCTCTGTCTCTCTCTGTCTCTCAATAATAAATAAATGTTAAAAAAAAAAAAAAAAAAAGACAGGAGGAGATGGATTTGAGCTACTTAGCAGATTGACTATAGAGGTGAAGGGTGAAATAGGAAATAGAATAAGGAATGACTCCCACATTTCTGACTTAGGCAGCTTAATGAATGGTGGTGGTATTAACTAAGTAAATACTGAAGGAAGAGCAAAATGGACTTGTTTAGTTTAAAGTGAAACATTGCAGTGGAAAGGTCTATTAGATGTGTGGATATGTTTGTCTCATTCTGCAGCAGAACTCATGCCATCTTACATGATGACTAGTTGAGGAGTTTTGTATGGTTGAAATGCTTGAGACTATCTATTATGGAAAATTGATCTTTCTTACTTATTTGTAGTAGTAAATTTCCTTAAATTCTACAAAATACTGAGATGATTTAAGTGGAAGGAAGCCAGCGATAGCTTAAATCAAGCTAAAATTTCTTCTCCTAATTTACAGTGCAGTTATAAGATAGGATGTTGTTGTAAGATATTATTTAGTACATGTAAAACAGGAAGTACATGACATAGCAAACAGTAAGTGTTAGCTATTATAATTCACTTTTGTTATTATTTTTCCCCACTGCCATTTCTCTCTAAAGTCAAATGCTTCTTTAAAAAAAAAATGTTTATTTATTTTTGAGAGAGAGAGAGAGAGAGAGACCACAAGCAGGGAAGGGGCAGAGAGAGAGGGCCAGAGGATCTGAAGTGGGCTCTGCACTGATAGCATCAAGTCCAATGAGGGACTTGAACTCAATGAACCATGAAATCGTAACCTGAGCCAAAGTTGGTCACTCAAGGAACAAGCCACCCAGGTGCCCCTAAAGTCAAATACTTCTTATTCTCTTCATTTGAAATTCAAAGTATACTATTTTCTTATGCAGACTAGATGGATTATTTTAAATGAGATATACATAAAAAAGAATGGGGAACTCATTTTCATTAAGTGTCTATTTGCATATGCTGGGCACCATGCTAGATTTGTGGGATATAGTGGTGAGAAAGTAGCTATAGTCAATTTCCTTTTTTTTGTTAATGTCTAACTTTTGTTTGGCTGGTTGATACAACATCCTTTCTTCAGTTTTGTTTGTTAATTTATTTAAGTATAAGTATCTCTTTTACATTATGTAGATGTTAAAATACTGTATGACCTATATTAGGGGAGATTTTTTTGTCCAAATTTTAAAGTTTATTTTTATTTATTTTGAGAGAGAGAGAGCATGAACAAGGGAGGGGCAGAGAAAGACAATCCCACTGTCAACGAGGAACCTGACATGGGGCTCGAACTCAGGAACCTTGAGATCATGGCCTGAACTGAAATCAAGAATCTGATGCTTAACCTATTGAACCACCCAGGCACCCCTCTTGTTCAAATTTTAGAATAGAATTTAACTTGGTTCAAATTATTATAAGGTGTATATTTTTACTTACATTTCTTTTAAGTGCATAAATATATATTTATTTTTCATTTTTTTTAGAGAATCCTTGATACGAACTGCATTCCAGTGTCTTCAGTTGGTTGTGACAGATTTTCTACCAACAATGCCTTGCACATGCCTGCAGATTGTTGTAGATGTAGCAGGTAGCTTTGGACTTCATAACCAAGAACTTAATATTAGTTTAACTTCAATAGGTTTATTGGTAAGTATTACTGCCTTTCTTGTGATCATATAATTTAGAAATCGTTGTTAGGCAATTAAGAATGAATGCTAAGCAAATAGGCTTTTTGTTTTATGGGGGTTGTTTGAATGACATTTAAGTGCTAAACTTTGATTTTGCATGAAGGATTAAATGACATAATTTAAGAAATAATTCATTGATAGAATATTTGGAATAATCTTTATCTATTGAGCTGAAATTTCGCTTTAAAAGGTTTGTCATGAGAGGATTTAGTAAATAAGTAATAGTACATAAAAGAGAAATATTTATGTGACTCTCGTGTAAGGATTAATTGATTTTCAATATTGTTTTAGTAGCAACATTTTCATGTACTGCTTATTTAGTAAATAAAGCTCCAATAAAAGTCTTTACATGGTCCTGTAGTTCATCCACTCTGCTTCGTTAGCTGCTAGAAGGCATATGTTAATGGAAGAGCCTTGACTGTGGGAGCAGATATACTTGTATTTTAATTCTCTGTGCCTGTTGTTAATTGTTTAATGACTGACCTTTTGAGCCTCATTTTACTCACTTTGAATGTAGAAGTAAAATCTAAGTTAGGATGTTATTAATATTACATTAATAAACAAAGCTGTTTCCAATATAAATGCATTTAAAGGCAATTATTTACACTTTTAAAAGTTTATTATAAGCCAAAAGTTTTTATTTATTTACTTTTATTTTTTTAAAGTTTATGTATTTTTGAGTGGGTGAGCATGAGCAAGAGAGGGGCAGAGAGAGAGGGAGAGAGAATCCCAAACAGATTCAGCACTGTTAGCGAGGTGCCCAACGTGGGGCTTGAACTCCTGAACCATGAGATCAGGACCTGAGCTGAAATGAAAGAGTCCGACACTTTTAACCTTCTGAGCCACCCAGACGCCTCTATAAGCCAGAAAATTTTAAAGTCAGATATCCCTCACAAGCTAGATAAGTTACTATTAAAATGTAATCATAGGAAAGAAAATAAGCACACATATAGAATCCCTCCCAAAGAGTATTTAATTCAGTGTTGACTATATTACTGCCTGGTGTCACTCTTATATTTATGTTTATAGGATTCTCTACATTTTTGTCATTGGTGTAATTCTCATTAATTCATACACTGTACTGTGGTTGAGAATGAGGTCATAAGCTACGTTGGGATATAGTAATTGTTCTATGAAATTATAAAATGCCATTAAATGATATTAAAGAACTGTTAATAATTTTTTTGGTGTCATAATAGTATCATGGTTAATTTTTTATAAAATATAGGCACGAAATAAATATGCCAAAATGTTAATAATAGGTTTTGGGTACATTGATATGTTGATACATTTTCCCTGTTTTTTGTTTTGTTTTATTTTGTATGTTCTTGAAATGTTTCATAACAAAAATATTTAAAAATATTAATGTCAGCACAAGATTGTTTCCCCATATTCTCCGGAAATCAGATGGAGACATATGACAGAGATGTTTTCAAATCTATTCTGCTAGAAAAGAAATTTCTGAAGTGACTTTTTAAGGTTTTGTTTCTGAAAGTTAAAGCAACCAATCATGTATTGAATATTTATTTATGTGTTTAAAATAAAACCTGTGAGTGAAATGGTATTTTTCTACTTTGCTCTTTAGTGGAATATTTCAGATTATTTTTTCCAAAGAGGGGAAACTATTGAAAAAGAATTAAATAAAGAAGAGGCAGCACAGCAAAAACAGGCAGAAGAAAAAGGAGTGGTTTTAAATCGGCCCTTCCACCCTGCACCACCGTTTGATTGCTTGTGGCTGTGTCTTTATGCAAAATTGGGTGAACTATGTGTGGACCCCCGTCCTGCTGTGAGGAAAAGTGCAGGGCAAACTCTGTTTTCAACAATTGGTGCACATGGAACTTTGTTACAGCATTCAACATGGCATACTGTTATTTGGAAGGTATTGTGTATTAGCCTGAGTTATTAGCATTTGAGACAGATTTAAAATTTTTTCAATTAAATTTGTTATTAATTTTTAAAGAAGAATTTCCCTGCTTTTGTGCTTTTGGCCATACAAGATGTTAGTTTTGTCCTGCTATAAGTTACACCATGGAGCAAATTACATATTGAAAGCCTATTCTCTCTTTTTCTATCTTCATCTCTTAATATCTGTCTCTGATTTCTGCCTTTGTCCCTTTTTTCTCCCTGTTTTTCCAAGTGCCAAAACCACATAATTGAAATGTAATCAACTACAAATTTTGTAAATGAAAGAATGTCAACAATAGTGAAATTTACTTGCAGACTAAGCAAACAGAAGTAACCTCTAAGTGGTAAATTCTGTATGTTTGTTCATTAAATATACAGTTTCATTTTTTCTTTTTCTTTTTTATCCTCTAAGACTTTTTTACAAAACTAACAGCTTATTAGTGAGCGTCGCCTCTTTGCTTTCCTTTTTGGTTCTGTCTGTTCCAGGGCACCTGGGTGCCTTAGTCAGGTAAGCATCTGACTCTTGATTTTGGCTCAGGTCATGATCTCACAGTTCATGGGATCGAGCCCCGTGTTGGGCTATGTGTTGACAGCAGGAACCTGCTTATAACCCTTACTTTCCCACTCTGTCCTTTCCCTCCTCACATGTGTGTTCTCTCTTTCTTTCTCTCTCTCAAACTAAATAAACTTAAAAATAAGCCTGAAAAATAAAATAAAATAAATAAAATAAAATTCTGCTCATCGTCTTTACACTGTTTTTGTGAATTTCTGAGATCAGTTAAGTTTGGTGATAGGCAACATAGTAAATCCTAATTGTATTTAACAATTTTTCTTCAATTTAATAAAAAAGACTCCAGAATGTCTTCTTAAAAAATTAATGTAGCCATGCTTTGGGCTCTGGGCAGATGATGTGGAGCTGCTTAGGATTCTCTCTCCTTCTATTTCTGCCTTTCCCCCCGCTCACATTCTCTTTTGCTGTGTCTCTCTCTCCAAATCAGTAAATCAACATTTAAAAAATTAATGTGCATTTACTAATAAAAATAATTAAAATCTCTTCTCCTTCCCCTGTGTTCTGTTTCAGCTCTATTGGCTCTTATTCAGATCATAAACATGCTTTAGTCTCCCTTACTATTATTTTAAAAAACAAACTGATATTTTCTCTGATTCCTATTTTCATTTTAAACAGCTTTATTGTTAATCTTGCTGCCTAATTCTCAGTGATTTTTTTTCCTTCCTCACCTCCCCTGCATTCTCTTGACCTTTTAATACGATTTCTAGATTATTCTAATTCAAAGCCTCTCAAACCTTAGTAACAGAGTCCCCTTGAAGTCTTACCACCCCCAGACCCCCGGAGTTTGTGATTTTTTTTTGATCCCCCTGGCACAGAGCCTGAGAATTTGCATGTCTGTGAATTTCTTGGGTGATGCTATGCTGTTGGTTCTGAGACCATATTTTGAGAACCACAGAAATTGTTCATAGGCCACAGGTAGTCTTCTAATTGCCAAAATGTTCTCCCTAAGTTTAGTTCTTATCCTACTCATTTTTTTTTTTTTTTTTTGGTAGCATTTAATACTGTTGGCTATTTTCTCCTTTAAATTTCTCTTCCCTTGGCTTCTGTTTCACAGAATGCTTTTGCTTGTCTTTTTCATTTTTATTTTTTTTCTTCAACTCCTTCCCCTGAATCTACGCTTTAAATGTAAACATTCTCCAAGTCCCAGACACTTCCTGCTTGATATTTTCAAGCACCCTCATCTAGTCCCGAAACTTGAGTTATAACCTCTATTTAGATGTCTTCTATAATTCTGTTTTTTGCCTGGACTGAATTCCTTAGCTTCAGTCCCTTCTTACACATTACCCCATAGATGCTCTGTTGATATGTCAACAAGTCTTAGAAAATATCCAATCAAATTAAAACATTTTTCATATTCTATAACTTCAAGTATAAACTTAATATAATACTTCTATTTTTTCTAATATATTGGATTGATCTGTCTGATATAATTTCTTGTGACTTTTGTTGTGACAGTTCTTAATTGCTATGCTTTTATTTAAGCTATGTTATTTTTATATGCATTTTTATAAATATTCAGGTTCTCTTTCATCTATTGGACCGAGTTCGGGAATCTTCTACCACTGCAGACAAAGAAAAGATTGAGTCTGGAGGTGGGAATATTCTCATTCATCATTCAAGGGACACAGCAGAGAAGCAGTGGGCAGAGACCTGGGTTTTAACATTGGCCGGAGTAGCAAGAATCTTTAACACTAGAAGATATTTACTGCAACCTTTAGGTATATATGCATTTTTCCTTCTAGTTAAACAAGTAACTCATTTTAAAGGCAATTTGAAAAATGTAGGAGATTTTTAAAAAATTTGTATATAATGCTACTTCCCAAGAATAATCAGTCTTAATGTCAGTTTTTGTTTATGTGTGTTGTGTGCATAAGCGTACACATTTTCATTCATTTCGTTGAGAAAATGTGTAATTTACCTCATATGGGCTAGCCTCTAGGGGATACAATGATGAATAAAATACACAACATCTTTGTTGTCATGGGCATAAGGGAATAACTGAAATTACATAAATAAATGCAAAATTGCTACAGTGATAAATGCTACAAAGGAGTGGTGCTTTGTAAGCTTATAATAGTTATTTGACCAGGCCTATGAGTTCCAGGTAAGCTTCCCTAAGGAAGCAGTATTTTACCTGAGGTCTGAATGGTCAGTAGTATTTCCATCAGGCAAGGGTAAGATGAAATGTGAAGAATTTTATAGGCAGAGAGAATGTGTAAATGTCAATAATACTGAGATTGAGAAGCCCCAGTGTAGATTATACCTTCAGTTCTGATGATAGTGGTGGGGGGGGGTAGAGAAAAGTGAATGGAACAGAAATACTGGTTTATAAAATTATGAGCATGCTGTACATATTATTGCATTTTTACAAATTATTATTTTACATTTGGCTTTTTTGTTCCTGTTTATGTTAAAGCATAAGCATATTTATTCTTTCCATCAGCAGTTTTGTGTGTTCTTCATGTTCATTTTTTCCTTTTTTTACCAAAAGTGGTCTCTAATGTTTGATCCTTTTTGCTCTCCTAGAGCTTAATGTTAAATGTATATAAAAATCCTAGTTTTTTATTTCCATATAAAATTTACATAAAATGAAATGTACCAGTCTTAACTATATATTTGCTGAATTTTAACCAAATAAGCATCATTTTTAATACGTCTGTGATAGGGCACCTAGATGGCTCAGTTGGTTAAACGTCGGATTCTTGATTTTGGCTCAGGTCATGATCTCACACTTTATGAATATGAGCCCTGAGTGTGAAGCCTGCTTGGGATTCTCTCTCATTTCCTCTCTCTTTACCCCTCCCCTATTCATGTTCTCTCTCTCAAAATAAACTTAAAAAAACAAAAACAAAAAAACTTCCATGATAGTTACTTTGTTTTAAAAGCTAAAACCTCGGGCACCTGAGTGGCATAGTTGGTTAAGTGTCAGACTTTGGCTCAGGTCATGATCTCATGGTTCATGAGTTTGAGCCCCACATCAGTCTCTGGGCTGACAGCTTGGAGCTTGGAGCTGGCTTCGGATTCTGTGTTTCCCTCTCTCTCTCTCTCTCTCTCTGCCCCGCGCCCCCCCCCCCCCACTTTCTCTCTCTCTCTCTGTCTCTCTCTCTCTCAAAAATAAACATTAAAAAATTTTAAAAGTATGGGGCACCTGAGTGGCTTAGTCAGTTAAGTACCCAACTTCGGCTCAAGTCATGATCTCACAGTCAGTGGGTTCAAGCCCCAAATCAAGCTCTGTGCTGAAAGCTCAGAGCCTGGATCCAGCTTCGGATTCTGTGTCTCCTTCTCTCTCTCTGCCCTCCCCTGCTCACACTCTGTCAAAAATAAACATCAAATAAATAAATAAATAAATAAATAAATAAATAAATAAATAAATAAATGAATGAATGAATGTAAAACCTAATAAATAAAGATCTAGTTTTTTAAAAATGAAGGCTGTTTGTGTAGCTTTAGTAGTTTTTTATAATTTAAATATTGGAAAGTGGTCTATATTATTTTAGAATAAGGTTCATATTTTCAACATAACCATGAACAATATATACTTACATCTAGTCTTTTAGAATGTGTACTTTTTCCTAGATATAGAATATTTTAAAAGAGGAATTACAGGGTTTTCCTTCCTGTGGTACGGAATATTCTAAATATGAGATTGAGTCCCCACTCTGATGTCAGCTCAAGTCATGGTCTCATGGTTCCTATTGAGCCCCATGAGCAGAGCCTCTTTGTTTGGGATTCTCTCTCTCCCTCTTTCTCTGCCCCTTCTCCACTTGCACACACGTGCTCTCACTTTCAAAATAAACTTTTTAAAAATCTGTTTTTTATTGTATGTAAGTTATACCTCAATTTTTAATAAAAAAAAAAAAAAAAAAAAAAAACATGGAAAGGAAGAGGCATATAACTGGCCAGGTGTTATTTTTTGTCCTGTATAGGCAGAGTAGTACCTATTGTTTCATCCCAGAACTACTTCCAGCTTTTCTGTTAACTGATTGCTTCCTCAGAAATATGAGGAAAAATTTAAAAATTTACTCATTTATAGCCTTTGTGAAATGACTTTAAACCTTAATTATTTATGTATTTCACAGCCTACTTATGTCACCCTGCTTTGGAAAATGTCAGTTCTTCTGATTTTTGTGTTAAATGCATGTATGTGGGTAATAAGCCATTCTGTTAACAAAGCCATTGGGGTAAATTGCTCTAGGAACAAAGTCATTTTGCTGGGTTTCATAGAAACAGACTACATGTTGCTGTAAAGAACTTCAACATAAATGTGCTTACCTGGTCATAGGAGTAGAACAAGAGATTGGATTGATCAGTGGAAGCCAACAACTGCCACTCAGCCCATGCTCTGCTGTGGGTGGGTCAGCACACTCCATTTCACATGAGAGGAGCAGATTTAGACTCAAAGTTGTAAAAAGACAGTCTCTTCTTTATGGTGCACTTTCTTCCGGTGACTCACTGTAATTGGGAAGAAATGTTTAAGAAAATTCTACAACGAAATAAAAAAAGAATTCTGCAGCTCTAAGTTATTAAAATATGAAAAGGCGTGAAGTTGAGATTTCATGAGTAGAGCATAGTGTATTTTAAAAACTTAGGCCAATAAAAAAATACATATTATTCTGTTATAATTTGTAACTTTTCCAATATGTTTAAGAGTGAGAACATCTTATCTTAATCATTAAATAAAGGTAGATGAGTAAATCAAAGTTGTTACTGAAAAGCTTTTGTTTTTACCCTCTTACATTTTTAATTCTGTTTTCCGTAGGCAGAAATAACTAGGAAATAGTGTGAACATGTGTATATACATTTATAGAGTTTTGTTTTTAATATTTTTTATTTAATTTTTTTTTTTTTTTAATTTTAGAGAGCATAAGTGAGGGAAGGAGGCAGAGAGAGAGAAAGAATCAAGTAGGCTCCACACTCAGTGCAGAGTCCCTGATGCAGGGCTCAATCCCACGACCTGGGGCTTGATCCCACCACCCTGGGGTCACGACCTGAACCTAAATCAAGAATTGGTCTCAACCAACTGAGCCACACAGGTGCCCCTATACAGTTTTGTTCTTAAGACCAAAACATTGATATACTCATCCTCTTCTTGGTGCCCTTTGTCCCTAGATCTGAAAAAAAATTTTTACTTGATTTTTGGGTTTCATTGATTTTCTTTTTTTTTTAATTAAAAAAATTTTTTTATTTATTTTTGAAAGAGACAGAGTAAGAACACAGGAGGGACCAACAGAGAGGGAGACACAGAATCTGAAGCATGATCCAGGCTCTGAGCTGTCAGCACAGAGCCTGACATGGGGCTTGAACTCACAAGCCATGAAATCATGACCCAAGCCGAAGTCAGACGGCTGAAGTCAGAGGCCTAACTGACTGAGCCACCCAGGCGCTCCAAGTTTTCATTGATTTTAATTCACACTGTTAGTACCTTAGTACTTGATCATATTTCTTCAGTTTTATAAGAATTTAAGCAGAAAAATAAATTGTAAAGTTTGCAATAGTCTGAGAAATCTTGACCATTTTGATAGATTTTGTTTTTCTCTTCCCGATACAGGAGATTTTTCAAGAGCATGGGATGTTCTTCTTGACCATATACAATCAGCTGCACTCAGCAAAAACAATGAAGTATCTCTGGCTGCCCTGAAAAGCTTCCAGGAAATTTTACAGATTGTGTCCCCCGTCAGAGACTCAGATAAGCCCGAGACACCACCTGCAGTTAATGTACCTGTGCCTGTCCTGCTAGGGTCCCTATCAGGCCCTGGCCTGAGCAGACCGTTTGTAAGAACAGATTCCATTGGAGAGAAACTTGGACGATACAACAGCTCTGAGCCACCCATAGTTACTGACGAGCTTGAAGATTTGAATCTCTGGTGGGCTGCGTGGAATACCTGGTATAGAATTGGATCGGAAAGCACTAAGCCTCCTGTTACTTTTGACAAATTGACTTTCATCCCCAGCCAGCCTTTCCTTACAGCTTTAACTCAGATATTCCCAGCTCTCTACCAGCACATAAAGGCTGGTTTCAGCATGGGCGACTTGCAGAAGCTGGGAGTCACACTGCATAGTGCTGTGTCAGTCCCCATAAGTTCAGACGCGTCCCCTTTTATTCTTCCATCTTATACTGAAGCAGTTTTGACAAGTTTACAAGAAGCTGTGCTTACAGCTTTAGATGTTCTCCAGAAGGTAATAGAGTTTCAGTGGCTGTCTAAACAATAACGTGTGTGGTTCTCTGGAAGTTTTTTAGTTTGCCACATATTTTTTAAGATAAATTCTGGATCAGCAAGATTGTTGTATATGCATACTTTCAGATAAACCCAAGGTTCTAAACATCCAGTTACTTTAAAAACTTAGGGCTTTCTGATGTATTTGAAAAGGTAATTCAGGTTTATTTTGAGAGAGTTTCAGAAACTGCCTGTATCCTCTTTTTTCTATTCACCAACATTTTTGGTTTGATTATGCAGCTCTTCACAAGAGGGTATATACTTCTCTGAATAACAGCTTTAGTGAAGTACTTCTATAATTAGGAAATCAATAAGTTATGGGATTATATATATCTGTATTTTTTTCATTTTACTTAAATTTAGCTCTGGAATTGTTGGAAGCTTATATTTTAAAACAAGAAGTAAGAATAAATTTAAAAGTATGTTTCTCACAGAAATTGCAAAAAGATAGATTTTACCTATGTGTGTTTTGTTACTGTGAAAAAGTTACTAAAACAAACAGACCTAAAAATCATTGAGCAAATTCCAACTAGCAGGCAAAACCAGATCAGAATCAAAGAGTTCTCTAAACCAGCAAGGTAATTGTTGGCACAATTCACAACAAACAAACTGCTAAACAGAAAAATGCCAACCGAGGAGCCAGCAATTCCAGCAAAGTCGCTGTGACATTCTAGCAAAATTAGAATGGAACTAGATTCTGATTACTCATGTGTTACCAGATTTGTGTATGGCAGATCGTTTTCTAATTAGCTGATTGCATTATATCCAGCTGGAATGATGAAAACTTTCACATTGAAAGTAGTGGTTTCTGCTACACCAGAATACCTCTTCACTGGCTCTGGAAGAAGTCTAGCTGTGCAGTAACCTTGATCTCTTTAACCCTAGTTGTCTGTGCAGAGAAACAAATTGTGTAGAAACTTAAATTTTAAGAGAATCTGACGTTTAAAAAAATTTATTGTAGGGTTATCAGTTTTCCACAATCGAAATCAAAATAGCTGTTTTTATTTTCAGTGAAGAAAAAAAGTAGCCTGTTAGTACCTACTTTTCCCCCCTTGATTGACCATGCACATGTTACTTATGCAGTGCCCTGGAGGGAATTGAAAAGTTATTCTGTCAGCAAAACAAAGCACAGACCTTAAGTGATGTCTGTAATCTACAACACGCATTTAGATGTTAGATTCAGGTTTTTATAAACAAAGAAATAACAACAAACCTCCAAAATTCTTTTCAAGGAAAAAAAATTATTAATTTTATTTATTTATTTATTTATTTATTTATTTATTTATTTATTTATGTTTAATGCTTTTTATTTTGGGGAGAGAGAGAGAGACAGAGAGTGCAAGCAGGGGATGGGCAGAGAGGGAGGGAGTCACAGAATCCAAAGCAGGCTCCGGGTTCTGAACTGTCAGCACAGAGCCTGATGGGGGCTCAAACTCCCTAACCGCGAGATCATGTGAGCCAAAGTCGGACGCTTGACTGACTGAGCCACTCAGGCTGTATAATTTTATTTTTAAAAGCTCTGCTTTAGCAGTGTGAGAACAAGTAGAATCATTTACTTCAACTACTAGGAACTTTTTCTGAGCTTTTACTAGTTTTGAAAACAACATATACCTTCATTCTGAAACTTAGGAAGCCTTATTTGTTGTTCATTTGTATCAACTGATGCAATTTTGCATTACTAATTCTCACTCTAGCTGTTGTTTATTACTTCTATAATTATCTAAATGGTATTTTATAACACTTGAATATGATTCAGACATAAGGTGTCTTTAATATTTCCTAATGGAAAAAGTAAGATATTTCACTATCAGTAAAAGTGTTTCTGTATTTTTTTCCCACGTGTGTCAGAAAATTTTTTCATAAGCAAAATTTACTTGCTTTGGGACTTTATAATTAAATTAGTTTTCCAACGAAACTTTTTATTGGTTAAAGATAATTTCCTTTGTAAAAAACTCATTTTTTATTTCACGTTTACCCTTACATAGTTCAAAGCTACAGAGTGACAGTCTTCTCTTGGTTTTTAAATCACTGGATCCCACTAAGTTTAGTTATGTATGCTAATTAATTTTTCTTGGCCAAGATATTTTGACATGCGTGGGACCTGAGAATTTGATTCTGTTTTCCCTGAGTTCTGAGGTCAGGAGACTGCATCTGTCTTATTTATTACTAAACTTCCAGTCAGATGGCTGGATGCTGTATCTGCCTCCATCATCAAGACTGTTGGAGGGGTACTCCAGGAGACACCGGCACATTGTGTGTGAATGGTGCCCGGGGAGTTGTGCAGTGAAGCCCTGCCTGCTGCTTAATGGGGCAAGTTTCTGACTCTCTTTATTCATGAGCTTCCTCATCTATAAAATGAAAATGATAAATCTACAACTTTTTTTCTTATTAAATGGGATTTGCAAGGCATTTACTGCTTGGCACAGTTAAACATTGAGTGAATGTTAGCTGTTACTGTCTGTATCATCAAGTTCCCTGGCATGGATCTTAGTATCTGAGTTGAAGAGGCAAAAAAAAGTCTTTGTATAAATAGGCACTGAATGAATTATTGTTTAAGGACTTAATAAGAGAAACCTTGAACCACAGGAGAGGTTGGATGTCCATTTTCTGTTCTTGTTTTCACATACAGTTTTCAAACTGGACTAATAGGAAATGTGCAGCTTGCTGACTGATTCGTAGCTTTTGAACTGAAATCTGTTATCAGGTTCACACTATAGTTTTTTTCTGATATACAAATTTAAGAACACTGAAAGAAAACCAATAACTTTTTCTTAGATGGAGTTTTTTTTTTTTTTTTTTTGAAAAATGTCAATTCAATAGTATGCATTTTAAGATCCTGGAATTGCTTATTAAGTCAGCTATAACAATGCAGTATGTTTTCTTTTTATAAACAGCTACTGAAAATTGAAATGTGTAGTCAAAGTCATTGTTTGGTGCTAAGATATTTCCAGAGAAACTGTTAATACTTAGTTTTGTAAGGTAATCATATGGGCTTTACTTTTTTTTAGTCCTTGAAACTTAAGAATCCACTTAGGATAATTTTTTCTTTTTCACAGTAATTACTGCTTATTTACTTCTGAGAATTAAGACTCAGCAAGAGCTTAATAAAAAAGAAAGTGAAATTTAACAGAAGCAGTCAGTAGAGTGATTTTTTTAGGCTGTATACCATTCAGATTCCTCTAATTCACTATTACAGAGAAAAATAACCAAATATTGAGAGATAGTATTAGACGTCTTCTTTTTTTTTTTTTTTTTACATTGTATTTATAGGATGATCTAACAGGTATGGGCAGCACTTTGCTTATCTACTTTATATTTCAAGACACTTTTCTCTAAAACTTCAGTTAAAACTAAATGGCTCTGTCTTCTCTGAGGGAAGATAAAATTAATCTATTACCTGACAGATCAAAAAGCCATGGGTTCTGGAAAACCATAAATGTTGTGTGCATCTTTTTAAAGGAATTCCCTAAAAATTTTAAATGCTTTGAATTTTGATCTACTATTTTGAGAGTATTCAAGTGCAGAATGATTATGTTTTTTGTTTTGTAAATAAAGCGCAAGTATATTTTAGATACTACATAAATACTATCATTGAATATTTTTCACACAGAAAAGAAACATTAAAACAGGAATATGTGAAAGGATGGGAGGAGAAAACACATTTGTTGCTAGAAAAAATGAAAATATAAGACTCAAGTACTTTCAGGCTATCTGAAGTAATTAAAATCTGTAGTGTCAGGATATGTATTTTATTCTGTTTTATCAAATTATTTATAGCAATAAGTTTAATTTCTATTAAAAATTTTAAATTCTTTTGTTTTAAATCAAGTCTGTATATTCAGATATATTAGACATTAAATATACACTGCCAGGTCAAAAAATTCACATATACATTTCTTTTAGAAACAAATTTTCACACATTTTCCCAATGATGGTATACATGATTATTTGTTAAAGTTAGGAGACTAAGCATAGAGCAGAAATCAGCTGTCATTTCAGTGAACTGATGCCATTACTTAAATAGAAGTCAGTATCAGTCAATATCCTCTTGGTCAATGAAGCATTCTTGATGACCTAATGGCTGTATTACTGAACAAATGATCGGATTGTGGAACCTCAGGACTGCCTGGGACGCCTCTTCAAGTGCTTGCTCTTTTTCTAGTCTGTTAAGTAATAAATCACACTTTTTATTAAAAGGCATGTTTTAGCTGATCAACACAGTTAGCTTACACTGTATTCAATAATAGCTTAAAATAGCTTGTAATAGCTCTGTCCTTCAGGGCTTATAAAAGATTGTATAATACTTATATAAAATAGGACAGTCTTTCAGATTCTTTGGTTAAGTGCATATACAGTGAAGAACTTATTGGAATTTAGATTATGCATTCTGTTGTTCATATTTTGCTTTTATAGGCCATCTGTGTAGGGCCAGAAAACATGCAGATAATGTATCCAGCTATATTTGACCAGTTACTGGCATTTGTGGAATTTTCCTGTAAACCTCCACAGTATGGACAGCTGGAAACAAAGCACATTGCAAATGCAAAATATAATCAGGTAATTTACTCTAAATTATATTTTCTCTGTAAGATTTCATGCCTTATTAACAGTTCCACTTAAGATGGACTTTTGAGTATCTCAGAAATTTGTCATTTACAAATAAACTTTCATATGTCTGTTAACAGTTTAAACTGAAAAGAAACACTTTTTGGAAAACCTTTTCCGTGTTCCATTTTTTCCTTGTTTTTGACTTTCCTTTCCCAAGTAGTTCTCTAGAAAGTTTGGCCTTTCATGTTACATTTTTCTTCAGAGGTCCTTTCTTGGCTGCCCACCCCATTACAAAATGGCTTCTAAATCCCTAAGCCTAATCTTGTCTAAATATCTGTAATACAAAATGAAGAAATCTGTGTGTGCTAAATAAATTGTCTACTGCTGGTGTGAAATGTAGTTGGATTTTATGTCAAAGATAGCCATAGTTGGCAAATTTTGGCTTTGTTTTGGCTTAGAGGAAAAGTAAGTTTCTGAATGCATGCACAGGCTGATTTTGTTCCCTCAACATAAAATAATTTTACATCATCCGAAAAGTAGTTTTAATGTGTATTAACTTTTCTCATTCTATTTGTCTTGCAACACAATGGAATCACAATAGATCCAACTATTTGCACCGGTGAGTTAAATTTCCTAAAATTGTCCTAACCTATTGGCAACAAGTAAAACACATCCTTCCCAGTACTTGATAGAATGCTCTCTGCTTTTTCTGATAGTTTTAATTTTTGCCTGGCTGAAAATTACTCTTTCATGAAGTACGTATCTCTTTGAAAACTTTGCATGTGATATAATCTTGACCTAAAACCAAGGACTGAACTTTAAGACAAAGAAGGTTTCTCTTTGAAAACAACATAATTTAATCTCATTTATTTTTAACTCCATGTGAAAATATTACTTTTTAGGCGGAATGGGTAGCCTTGAATTATGTACCGTTTGCTGAAAGGTCTTTAGAAGTAGTTGTGGATTTATACCAAAAAACAGCCTGTCACAAAGCAGTGGTGAATGAGAAAGTACTCCAGAATATTATTAAGGTATCTTGTTTTTAATTTCTATACTTTCACTTGATGATGATACTATTATTGAAATTACAGTAAATTATTGAAATTATAGGTAGTGATATATTATCATATATTGAGATAATGGAAAATATTTATATAATTATTTGTGGGGCCTTTCCCCAACTTTCATGGATCATATTTAGGAAGCCATTTTTCTACAGTATGAAAAATTCTTTTTTTTTTTTTTTTTTAATTCACATCCAAGTTAGCTAGCCAAAGTATGGGAAGAAAAGTTCTTTTTTTAATGAAAAATATTTTAAAGTAAGTATGCATTGGATTTTTTTCACTTCTTAAATTTTGCCACAGGATAACAAAGTATCCTGTTTCTTATATTTCAAGGTTGATGAGTATTCAGGGGAGAAGTTTATAGCCCATTGACTTAACTGATCATGCATGCCTTTTCTGTTTTTAAAGCCAGTTCCCTAGTGTATGGACAACCATTTGCAAAAACTCATCTCTAGTGGATTATGTCTGATTCTTCCAAAGTCTGTTTCTTGTTTTTTTTCCCTGTGTTTTGAATAACACACCTAAACCTTGCCTTCTATAGGCCAATATGAACTGTCTTCCCTCATGGAGAAGGCCTTTCTCTGTTTCAAAGCTCATCCTTCTCCCTGTGTCCCTCCTTTCCTCTTTCCCTCTTTTTTTGTTGGTGATGCTTTGTTTCATTTTCCTTTTAGTCTCATAAACTGTACCTTGGAAAGATGATTAAGCCCTTTATAGAAGAACTTTCTCTCACTTTACTTCCTACTCAAATGGCCCATCCCCTTTCAGCTTTTCTTTCCTTCCAAATTCCTTAAACAGCTTGTGGCCTTCATCTAAGCTGCCACTCGCTCTCACCCCGCTGCATGCTGGCTTACTTTCATATGGTGCTCCAGAAATGACTTAAAAGTTTAGAAGATCAAGTCTTCAAATCCTGTGTGCTTTTGTAATTATCCTCCTTGTCCTATGATACTGCCCTTAACCTTCTTTAAACTCCTTCCCATGATTTTTGTCGTACTCTTCCTTCCCCTCCCTACTCATCCCATCACAGCTGTTCTCTCCTCATTCATTGAGAATAGTTTGTAAGCACCTCTGTTGCCAGGTACTAACTAGTAGAAATTTAAAAATGAGCAAGATAATTCTTACATTTAATAATTCAGTGAAGGGAATATAGAAAAGGCAGACAAAGTATGTTAAGTCCTAAGTGAAGAGTACACAGTGGATTCAGATAGACCTGCCTGAGTGTATTGCTGTTTACTTGCTGCTGTATAATTTTGGGTAAATGGACCTGTCAGAGCGTTTCTCATCTATAAAAGAAGGTTGATACCATACCACTTATATGTCTTAACTATTGAGAGACTCATTCGAGATACAGCTTATAATGATACTTGCCAAGTAGTCAGTGCTGAGTAAAAAGTTAGGTTCCCACCTCCCATCCCCCATAGACAAGGAAATAACTGAACTGTCCAGAGGATTTTGGCAAGGATCAACAGAAGTGACACTTGAAGGAGTAATAGATTTGCTAGGGAGAAGGCGAGGGATTAAGCAATGTAAAAGATTGTGGTATTTTTTAAAGAAATTTTGAGAAATTCCATTTAGGGAGATGTCAGGACCTAGAATAAGTCTTAAAAAATAGCTATGGTTCTTATAAGCCATTGTAAGGAATCAGACTATTCTTTAGCCATTGAAGAGTGACATGAATCAGTTTGTATGTTTAAAAGAATTAAATAATCTTTTTTCTGTACTCCTTCCCCCTACCCCTTTTAAAAAAATGTTTGTTTATTTTAAGAGAGAGCTTGTGTGAGCAGGCAGAGAGAGGGAGAGAGAAAATCCCAAACAGGCTATGCACTCACAGTGTGGTGCTTGAACTCAGAGAACTGTGACAGCATGACCTGAGCTGAAATCAAGAGTTGGATGCTTTGGAGCACCTGGGTGGCTCAGTCAGTTGAGTGCCCAACTTTGGCTTAGGTCACAGTCTCACGGGTCATGGGTTCGAGCCCCGCATTGGGCTCTGTGCTGATGGCTCAGAGCCTGGAGCCTGCTTCAGATTCTGTGTCTTCCTCTCTCTTTGCCCCTCTCCCACTTGCACTCTGCCTATCTCTCTCTCGAAGATAATAAATAAACATTAAAAATAAATAATAAATAAGTAAACATTAAAAAAAACAAGAGTTGGACACTTAGCTGACTGAGCCACCCATGCGCTCCTATGCTGCCCTTTCTTAATGCCACTCACTACACTGTATTGTGATTAATTGGACAAGACTCTTTCTTTCTCAAAAATTGTGAGCTTTGTGGCAGCAAGAGCAGATTTCTCAGTTCCACACAGATTTACTGAGTATATGCTTTAAACCAATCTCCATCTTAGTTGCTTACATGTTTTTAAACAAAAAATGTACAAATCACATAAATCTACTGTGTGTAACATTCCCTTAATTTCAGTAAAATATTAATTGTAGTAGTTAATTATATTTTTCTTTTATCTAACCTTGAGTTATAAAATGTTAACTTAGACTGGCCCTTGTATAATTTAGCACTGTTTTCTTTGCAAATGGCAAACACTCAGGCTCTGATTAGCCTTAACAATAAAAGGGATTTATTGCCATGCTTAGTTGGAAAATTCAGAGATGGAGGGTTTTAGGATTGGTTTATCCAGTGGTTCTGCAGTGTCAACAAAAATCAAGTTTTTTTTTTTCTCTCCATTCTGCTTTTCCAAAGATTGATTACACCCCATGTTTCTCCTCATAGTTACAGGCTAATAAGGGGTTTGATGTCCAGTAAGAGGTGTGTGTATATACGTGGTTCTTATCATATTATTCTTCTTAAGTTTCTAAAATTAACCTTAATTGGACCAGCTTTAGTCCTATGCCCAGTCTTGAACCAGTGATTATGGTCAGGGAAATGGAGTAGATTGATTTGCTTAATGAGCTAATCATCTCTTTACCCTAAATCCCAAGTGGAATTGAAGTCAGGTTCCCCCAAAGCACCTGGGGAAAGGAAAGGAATAGATCTGGCTAGGCTAATTATCTCTTAGTGGAGGCCCATTTCATGCTAACATGTAATGGTTCATGAAGTGAGTAAGTAATAATTTGTATGGACGATGATGAAATTAAGTTTTATAATCACTCCATAACCTTGAAATATGAAAATTTATCTCTGCTACTCTTTATCTTTGTGAGACTAGGATTTTTATATAAAAGTAGGATTTTTACTCTAATGTACATTATCTGCTGATATGCTGAAACTGGGAGTTTGATCAGTCTAGCCTTGTAGTTGCTGGATAGAACTATAGCCAGAGGACTTCATTCTGAACCACCAAATTAGTTCTTTAATGGTTTATAGCGACCTACCTCAAAAGTTGACCAGTTAAAAAGTAAATCTCAACATCACAGTCACATCACTGTACGTAACTCAGATGCTTTACTCCTGTATCTGCAAGGGTTAAGGAATAAACAGTCTTTCTGAATTATCAAACTTACTGAAATAACTTGGAAAATGAAAAAGTACATTAAAATGTTAGAGTAGAACATTAAGTTCAAAGAATTTTAGAGATAAAACATAAGACTTCAAAGTATTGATGCTTTAGGTTATATTTACCTAACCAATAGTGAAAAAATACAAGGTGTTGATCTTTCTTAAATGGGAGAACCCCATCAGTCAAATTGTTTTCTGCTAGGAAAAATATGGCAGAACGTTCTAATTCTGTAACAGTAAGTTGAGAGAAACTGTGAAATTTTAAGTTTACTATTCCTATCTTTTTGGATAACATCCCTATATTTTATGATGAGAAACTGAAGTTCAAAAGGTTGTTACTCATTCAAGGTCATTGTTTATAAAATGGAAACAGAATATCTTTTTAGGCAGTAGGATTTGAGGACCATGTCTGAAATACTGATTTTTCTAGAAAGTAATATCCTTTTTTTAAGTGAAAATACCTGTGCTCTTATTTTTTTCTCTTTGCTATAGTTTTTTTAAGTAATTAAAGCTGTATTTATATATTTTAATTAATACATATCTTAAATTGTCTTTATTTTCACAGACCCTTAGGGTTCCTCTCAGTTTGAAATATTCCTGCCCTTCTGAAAGCACATGGAAACTAGCAGTATCTTCTCTCCTCAAAGTTCTTTCTATTGGGCTACCTGTTGCCCGGCAGCATGCTTCTTCTGGAAAATTTGACAGTATGTGGCCAGAACTAGCCAATACTTTTGAAGACTTTCTCTTTACTAAAAGGTCAGCTCATTCAATTTTACAATTAAGACAATCTCTCAAAAAGTACCTGTGATCTAAAAACAATCTTTCTCATTACTCATTAACAAAGTAATTATTAAGACTGCCATGTTGGGGCGCCTGGGTGGCGCAGTCGGTTAGGCGTCCGACTTCAGCCAGGTCACGATCTTGCGGTCCGTGAGTTCGAGCCCCGCGTCGGGCTCTGGGCTGATGGCTCGGAGCCTGGAGCCTGTTTCCGATTCTATGTCTCCCTCTCTCTCTGCCCCTCCCCCGTTCATGCTCTGTCTCTCTCTGTCCCCAAAATAAATAAACGTTGAAAAAAAAATTAAAAAAAAAAAAAAAAAAAGACTGCCATGTTGTATACGAAGCAAGACTGAGTAGACCTTTATCCACTAGGTACATTATCATGAGCAATGGAGATTTTTGCTTTTTACACTGTTTTTGTTTTTTTAAGCTTATTTATTTATTTTGAGAGAGACAGAGGGGGAGAGAGAGAGCCCATGTGCAGGAGAGGGGCAGAAAGAGAGGGAGAATCCCAAGCAGGCTCTGCGTTGTTAGTGCAGAGCTTGTTGCAGAACTCAATCCCACAAACGGTGAGATTATGACCTCACCTGAAATGAAGAGTCGGAAGCTTACCCCACTGAGCCACCCAGGTGCCCCTACAGTGGTTTTTTTGTTTTTTTGTCTTTTTAAATGTTTATTCTTGAGAGACAGAGACAGAGACAGAGCAAGAGCTGGGGAGGGGCAGAGCGGGGAGGGACACAGAATCCGAAGCAGGCTCCAGGCTCTGGGCTGTCAGCACAGTGCCTCACTCGTGGTTCAAACTCAGAAACCGTGAAATCATGACCTGAGCCGAAGTCAGACACTTAACCAACTGAGCCACCCAGGTGCCCTGTGTTTTTAAGACAGAAGTCTGTAAGACAATATGGATGCGTCATAATTAAGGTTTTAACTTGAGGAAGCTAAGAAGATCTGTTTTTTAAATCTGCTGCCCATTTGACATCGCAAGAGGAAAACAATTGCAATAAATTAGTGTTGCACCAGAATAAATACGATTAGTGATGATCATGATTAACTCTTTAAGATGTTAGTTTTGGTGGGGGCACCTGGGTGGCTCAGTCGGTTAAGTGTCCACCTTCGGCTCAGGTCATGATCTCACGGTTCGTGGATTCGAGCCCCTCATCAGGCTCTGTGCTGACAGCTCAAAGCCTGGAGCCTGCTTTGGTTTCTGTGTCTCCCTCTCTCTCTGCTCCTCCCCCACTCATGCTCTGTCTCTCTCTCAAAAATAAATAAATATTAAAAAAAATTTTTTTAAATAAAAAAATATGTTAGTTTTGGTGAAGAAGAGTGGAATTTTCATTGTGTGACAGCCATCTGAAGGCTTATGTTCATGGATCATCTTTTGACCCCTCACTGAGTGAGAGTAGGATAATTATAATTTTTTTTTTTCAACGTTTATTTATTTTTGGGACAGAGAGAGACAGAGCATGAACGGGGGAGGGGCAGAGAGAGAGGGAGACACAGAATCGGAAACAGGCTCCAGGCTCCGAGCCATCAGCCCAGAGCCTGACGCGGGGCTCAAACTCACGGACCGCGAGATCGTGACCTGGCTGAAGTCGGACGCTTAACCGACTGCGCCACCCAGGCGCCCCGAGAGTAGGATAATTAGAAGACATACTAAATTTTATGAATGAGGAATCTGTGGGCTAACTTAAATTTTGTATAAAAGCTTATCTGGTATTTCAAAATTGAAAGTAGTAACATCCTAATTTCTGTTTCCACAAATGGTCAGATTTTGTTTTACTTTCTTTTCTTTTTTTTTTAAGTTTATTTATTTGAGAGAGAGAGAGAGAGAGAGAGAGAGAGAAAGAAAGAACACAAGCAGAGGAGGGGCAGAGAGAGAGAGGGAGAGAGAGAATCCTCAGCATGCTCCACACTCAGCGTGGAGCCAAGGTAGGGCTCAATTATAGGACCACGAGATCACGACCTGAGCCCATATCAAGAGTCAGACGCCTAACTGACTGAGCCACCCAAGTACCCCTTGTTTACTTTCTTATGTATCTCATCTCTAGAAATCTTGTAAATACCAATGTAAGCATACTCTGTATTTGCAGGAAAATTATAAGGACTCAAAGCACATTGAAACAAATTATCTTTTTATCTGTAACTCTGAAAATTTGAATTTCTTTGTGGATTCCATTGCCCAAAATCACTATATTAATTTGTATGAATCAAATAGGTTTAGAGATTTAAACTTTTCTTTTTCCTTCTCAGTTGTCTGTATATTCATGTTGCTTTATTATTTTATTTTTATTTATTTTATTTTTATTTTTTTTAAATTTTTATTTATTTTTCTTTTTATTTATTTTTTAAAGATTTTACTTTTACATAATCTCTACACCTAGCATGGGGCTTGAACCCACAACCCCAAGACCAAGAGGTGCACGCTACACCAACTGAGCCAGCCAGGTGTCCCATAATAATATAACCTTTTAGAGCAGGTTTTTTGGCAATGAGTAAAACTTTTTTGTTTTCTTTTGGCTGGGTCTTTCTACCATCTTACTTAATTCTCAGGTTTCTTATTGAACATTTTTCATTTTCCAAACTTTGTTCTTACTTTATAAGTTCAGTTTTCTGAAATTAATTTTTATGTGTTTGTGTACAATAAAGTAGGCAATGAAACAAAAGGCCTAATAATAGAAACTGCACATCTTATGTCATTTTGTATTAATGCAGTTGTACTATAATTCATTATAGTTTTTAGCCCAACGGCAGCCCTGCTTACATTAAAGTTTTGGGTGTATTGAGTATGTTGAAAATCATATTACTTAAGAAAGCAGACAGCATAGTGGGTAAGAGCACTGACTTAGGAGTGGGGCCATCTGGATTCAAACCTTGACTGTATTACTTTATAACTGAGATGTTTTGGACAAGTTACTTAACCTCTCAGGAACTCATTACCTTATCTGTTAATGGGAATTATACTTAACTCATAGGTCATTATGAGGGTTAAGTCACTTAAAATAAATGACTCCTTAGAGTAGTACCTGGCATGTAAGTGCTTTTAAAATGCTTTCTACCACTATTATTATCCTCATTATTTCCTTTCCTTAAGAGAAAGTGATGCTATCCGTATCCTTTCCCATCAAAAAGCCATATTTTAAGCTAGAATTTTAAAGACCAAAACTGTAAATAACTAGGAGTAGGAAATTTACTTCTAAATTTGGAATTGTGTATAATGGCTAGAAAATAATAAAGATACTGACTTCAGCTGTCAGTAACACAGAATCAGTGTTCTCAGTTGTAGTTATTCTACTTATAGATTTAAGCCTTCTACTACATGGAGTAGTAGAGACATACCCTACATTGAAAGTCATGACCTACTTTGGACTCTATCACCTACTTCCTGTTGACCTTGGACTGGTCATTTTTATTTCATAGTCCAAAAAATATTTTAAAGCTCAAATTGAAAACTTGCATTAGTTAGCTGAAGCTAAAAATGGCAGTGCTCACTAGGAGAACTTAAAACAATGCACATTTTCAGTTTCATGAGGTTTTGTTTTTTGTTTTTCAAATAATTGATTACTTTGGAAATCACAAAATATTATTTTATGTCATATATGTACTTGTTCTATAACTGAAGTTCATCAGTAATATTGAACAGTAGGGTGTTTCAGAATGTTGCTTGGAATAATAAGGCCTTAGTTTTTATATAATACTAATATTTGAGCATATTTCATCTTGGAACATTTATAAGTCCTTTAACTTAATATACACTCTAAGACTTTGAATAACCATGCCTTTATAATGCTTAGCTTTCTTTTGTTCTTTAAGCTGTTTTGGCAAGGCAGTATAATAACAAAGAAATACAAATAAAATCAAAATTAGCTAGAAGAAAACGAAGGCTTTGGACATCATTGAAGACTATCATAAATAAATAGTTGAAAGGAGAAAAAGAAAAAACATGATTAAAGATGAAAAACATAAAGACTGTAATCTGGTAGACACTTGAAGTTTATTAGGAGTTCATTCAATCATCCTTGGAGTACTGAAACATGGTGCTTGTCCTCTAGAATACACTTGGGCTGGGGGGGGAATTCATACAAATGGTCTGTGGACCTTAAGTTAAAAATCACTAAGTACTACCCAAAAGAATTCAGATGAAACATGTTGACACAAAAACTTGTTCACTAATATTCATAGTGGTATTTGTCATAATAGCCCCCAAATGAAGACAATCCAAATGTTTATCACCTGATGAGTGGATAAAGTAAATGTGGTATGTCCACAGATTGGAATATTCAGCCATAAGAAAGGATAAAATACTGATGTATGCATGCTACAGTATAGATGAATCTTGAAGATGTTATGCTATGTGAAAGAAACCAGACACAAAAGTCCATATATTGTATGATGTCACTTATGGGGTATATCCAGAATAGGCAAATGTGTAAAGACAGAAAGTAGATTAATGGTTGCTACAGGTAGGAGAGGAGAGGATGAGGAGTGACTGGTCAAAGTACAGAATGTGTTTCAGGAGTGATGAAAATATCCTAGAATTAGAAGTGGCACAACTTTGTGCAGATGCTAAAAAGCACTGAATTATATAATTTAAAAGGTGAATTTTATAGTATATGAAATTGTATCTCATTACACTTTTTGAATGTACCATGCAGAGAGAACTGACAAAAAATACAAATCATACTTTATCAGTTATTTTATTTCAACTAAATATTTGTGAAGATAATTTTTAAAATTACCTCCATCTTAGAGAATTAAGGATCTTATATGGCCCATTTCTACCTGCAATATTCACCATCTCTACTTATAATTTATAGGTAAACTGTGTTAATCATCAGTTTTTTAGAAGCTCAACCAATTTTTTTGATATGCTCAAAGTGTTTAGTAAGGATACTAACTATAAGTTAAAAAAATAACCATTAGTTTGAGTTTTGAGACCAGAATACTTAACCTATGCATCATCAAATAATTTCCTGATTTTTTTGATCGCTGGAATTAGGAGTGAACTTTTGAGTTTCTGACTTTGTATGCTTTCTTTCCTCATAAAATATTTTAAGATCCACTTCAGTGTTTGATACATGATCCCTGTCACATTTATATTATTACTGTCTGTTCCTAATAAGCTTTTTTTTTAATTCATAGCCCATCCTCAGTTACCTCCACCATTATCACCATTTTTTTTGTATCACTGAACACTTATATTACTTGATTATAAATTAGAATTAAACACAGCTTTTATCTCCAGAGATACAGATAGGATCTGTGAAGCTACATTAGTTGTAGCAGTTATGAAATTCCCAGCATTGGTTCCAGTTTGGGTACATGTCATTAAAATTTTTCCTGTAGTTTGCTACTAGCAGATTATAGAATTAGTCTAGGACTTGCACACCAGAATGCAAGTTTCATGCAACAGAGACTAAGTGCATCTTGTTCACAGCAGGATCTTGAACACCATCTTGCTCAAACTCAATGCTGTATATATGCTGTATATGGTACAAAGCATCTGATACTCAATAAATATTTGTTGAATGAAAAACATCTAAATCAAGTAAAGATCTGGTACCCATAACAGAGTACATGTGCACGAGTGCTTGTGTGTATTCTAATACTTATAAATAGAAAAACCAAATAATGCTAGAGCAAAAATAGCCCTAGATACAAAACTGTATATTATAACTCTAAATCTAAGATAACACTGCTTTTACATTTACAACATGAAAGAGAAGAATTTAGGCTCAAATACCAGAGAAGTTTAGGGTCAAATTGCGGCCTTGTCATTTGCTTACAGTACATTCTTGGTCATTTTACCAGCATTCAAAGCCTCAGTTTCCTCTTCTGTCAATTACATGAGGATAATACTTGCTACATGTGGTTACTCTGGGAACTTATGAAATAATACAAATTAAAGCTCTTAGTACAGTGGCTGGCTCTGTAATTTTTCGCTGTCATTACTGTAACAATCATTAACATCTTATTCTCAGCTGTTTTTAAGAAAATATTTCACTGCTTTGTAAGTTAAATACCATTTTACCACTCATTCTGATTAGGAGCCACATGGTTTAGAATTCACCTTGGTTCTCTCAGAATAACTGATTTCCATTGATCTTGCTGGAATAATTTTCTGCTTTAGAAAGTCTGAATCAGCCCTGTTTTGTTTTAGATGTTCTCTATCTTTAATGTAAAGATCTTTAATACATTATGTTTATTACAAATTAGTGATTAATGGCCAGTCTCTGAGTGAATGGGTTCAGCAGATAACCAAGACTCTTTTAAGTCACTGGCAGTGTAAGTGAATTCAGGTATCCTCACAGTAGTAATTTTTGTTGTAGCTGCAGATGATAGTAATACCCTCACTTTTTATTGTTTTTTTCATTCATAATACTGAAAGGAGTTTAATTTTACAGATTTTATTTAATTCAGGATTGGACCAAGCATTTTTTGTAGTTAAGAAATTCATGTTTGTAATTGGTATAGTCCTTATTATACTAATAACTTTAATTAAAAATACTGTTCTTTTAAATAAATGGTAATGTCTAACCTGGGTGAGAAAATAAATCCTTTTTGTCATTTGAATACTGCTCATTTCTAGGGAACATGTTACTTTTAAAAATCAAGTGTTTTATTTATTTTTTAGCATACCTCCAGATAATCTCTCTATTCAAGAATTTCAGAGAAATGAAAGTATTGACGTTGAGGTGAGGAAGCTGTTTAAAACATTTTCCTGTAACCATTTGTGCAAACCAAATAGTAGAAATGTTAAAATTATGAAATTGCTAAAAGAACAAGTAGGGTTAGTAAGTTAAGATTGAACCTAAAAGCTTTAAAACTCTCACAGAGATTAAAGGTTGGTTCTTAAAGCACTGACATGATTTCCTTTTATTTGTTAGCTTTGTGCTGTGTGTATGTTGTCTAGATCCATAGTTGTGTCCATTTAATAATTTTAAAAAGTAGTTGATTCAGTAAAATCTCAGTCATTGAGCACGCATTTGAGAGTTTGTGCTACAGTTTGGCAAACCAGGTGTTTGTCGTTCAAACTAATCAATAAGTTGTTTAGATTTTTGTTTTTAACCAGCTGTAGATAGAGCCTCTCAAACTCTTGAAGCACATAATGAGAGCTTGTTAAAGAATATATTTTGTTGATTATAAATTGACTTTAAAGAAGTAGTTTTTTTGGTTATAGATTTTTTTTGTTGGGGGTGGTGGTTTGATGATTTTCCTTTAAGCAGGATAAAAGAACTTTTAAGTAAATGAAGTAAATTACTTTAAAGTATATCAAAAAAGTATACGTATAAAATACTGCTTTTTGTCCATTTCTGTATTAAAACTCTTGTAAACTTTTCTTCTTTTTCATCAAAGGGCAAAATAACACATTATATATTAGAAATGAGCTATTTAACAAAAATGAATGTAATTTTCCTTTCTCTTTTGTCTCATTTATGGTTATAAAAAGTGATTTCAATCTTATTCTGAATTCTGTTTTGGATAGTTTATTCTAGCATGGATACATTTCATATAACATCAACATTTACTAAAATGGTTCCATAGTAAACAGTCTATAGTATTGACTATTTTGTAATAAATTTATTATTATTACTAAGACAAATGAGGGAAATGGACTACTCATCCTGTATGTTAACATTAAAATGTTTGTGTACTTCAAGGAAGATTCTTTAGCTGATTTTCTTTTAAAATAAAATTTAGGTTTTACTCTAGATACTGTCATTTGAGTTGGTCTCTTTCAAGAAAAACAAAATGCATTTGAGTTTGCCTCTTTTGTTCTAGGTAGTTCAGCTTATCAGCACTGAGATACTACCTTATGCCAATTTTATTCCTAAGGAATTTGTTGGTCAGATAATGACTATGCTTAATAAGGGCTCAATACATTCTCAGTCATCTTCATTTACAGGTATGTTATTTTAATGATTTATTAAAAATGTTAGTATTGAAGTACTTTGGAAGAAGCTGACTATATAAATGTTTACTCCTGTGATTATGGTAAAATGTAAACTGGAGAATGGTTAAGGTAATTTCTAAGAACATGATAGAACATTAAGCTTTCTGAGGGGAAAATGTGAATATTCTGTTAAACTGTGCTAAGGACTTTGAAGAACATTTAAATGTGTGTAGTCTGGCCACTAGATGTCTCTCATACTGCTTACTTCACAAACTACAGCACTTCTTTTTCCCAGCCCAAACAAGTTTTAAAAGTGATGTGGTTAAGTGCAGATTTAACAAAAATAATAGTCTCAGAAAAAATAATTAAATACTACTTATATTAATACAGTCAACTTTTTATTATTAAAGAGTATATAAAAATTTCTAGATACATTTTTATAAAATGTGTGTTACAAACAATATAATCAGATGTAAATACTTTAAGCTTAATAAGGATTACTGAGTTGCCATGTATACTTTTTCTAGCAGTTTCTGATGATACCTCTTGCCATTTATAGTATTAAATATACCAAAGTAAGGAAGGTATTTGGACATTTCTTCCAATGACTTTGCCATTGGACACAAACTTCTCAACTTTAACTTGGAGGGTTTTTTTTTTTAACATATACATAGAAACATATACATAGAAACAGGACCAGGCTTTTATAAAGACCTAGGTTCCAGGGATCAGTTTTGGTCCCCACCATTCTTAAGTATGACCTGATAGCCAAAGCTTTCAGAGAAAATCTTTCAACATGAAAGAGAAAAAACAAATCAAGAGGGAGTAAAAGAAACTGAGAGGAAACAGATAAAATTCAGAGCCATAAAAACATTACTCCAAAAAAGCACAATTATAATTAGGATGTTCAAAGAGATAAAAGATTTATATTCATGAAAAAAAATACTGTTAACAAGGAGGAATCAGAATAAGAAGGAGCTCATAGAAACTAAAAATGTGACAGCTGAAATAACAAGTCCAGTGAAGGGTTACAAGAAAATATAAGGAGGTAAACCAGGAAGTAGAGAAAGACAAAAAGTAGACAACATAAGAAGAAAGAAATAAAATGAATCCAAGGGGTCTAACATCTGACAATAGGTCTTCCAGAAAGAGAAAATAGAGCAAAGCTAACAGAGGAAATTATTAAATACATAAACTGAAGAAATCAGTCTCCAAATTAAAAATGGCCACTCAGTGACCAGAACAGTGAAAGAAAAAAGATCCACAAGAAGGCATGTTGTTAGGAAATTTCAAAATACCTGGGATAAAGAGAAGATTCTACAAGATTTCAAAAAGAAAAGAAAAAAGTCCAACACAGAAGAATTGTATCAAGAGGACATTGGACTTTTCAGTAGCAGCACCGTATGCTAAAAGACGTTGATGAAGTAGTTTGAGAGTTAGAAATGGAAAGGATTTTTAAGAAGGAGTTTTAAATGTGGGCCCATTGTTGGCAGAGTATAAGTGTAGAATGGTAATTTTCAAATGTCAGCATGTATTATAATCAGCTACAAGGGCAAGTTATTGCTGGACTGTACTCTCAGAGCTTCTGATTCAGTACGTATGGGGTGGGATATGAGAATTTGCATTTCTAACGAGTTTTCTGGTGATGTTGATGCTGCTAAGGAACAACTCTTTGAGTACCACAGTAAAGTAATGATATTTTCAGAAATGCAAGTTCTCAAAAATGTTACTTCCTATTCAGAATAGTCTTTTCTGAGACATTCTAGAATGTGCTCCATGAAAACAAAGGAGTAAGCCAAGGAAATGGAAGGCATGGATCTAGGAAGTGGGGTATACAGTAAGAGAATAAAAACAATTCCCAGGCTATGACAAAGACTAGTTCTAGGAGATAGCGGGACAGCAGGTCTAGAGAGCAGCTAGTCCAGAATAGAGCTCAGGTCTGGCTCTAGAAAGATGTTGCTAAGAGGAAAGTAGGAAGGGAGGGAGGAAGAAGAAAGAAAGAAAAATCACAAGCTTGACCTTGTGGCAAACCATTGAAAAGTATTTTATAGTGCTGTCAAAGAGTATGAAAAAAAACAAGACAAGAAAAATACTAAGTAGAAATGATGAGAGTTGACAGTCTTGCCTTGTTTTTGATCTTGAAAGGGGGAAAATTGTTATATACATGCTGTTAGCTGGAAGGTTTTCATAGATGCTCTTCATCAGTTGAAGAATTTCCTTCTGTTCCTAGTTTGCTAAATTGTTATCATTAAGGTTATTAATTTAACTTCCTATTAACCATCAAAAGTTGTTAATTTTACAGAAGCAGAGATTGATATTCGTTTGAGAGAGGAATTCTCGAAAATGTGTTTTGAAACATTGCTCCAGTTTTCCTTCAGTAACAAAGTCACAACACCTCAAGAAGGCTATATCTCACGAATGGCACTCTCAGTACTTTTAAAGAGGTCTCAAGATGTACTTCATCGCTATATAGAGGATGAAAGATTAAGTGGTAAATGCCCTCTTCCAAGGTATAGATTTTATTTTATAGATGAAGAGAATATGCTGTCATAGTTATTAATTAAAAAAAAAAAAAAAGCTTTGAGCACCAAGTTGTTTTTATAAGTGATGTGAATGTAACCTGAAGCTGTTTATACTTTTATTTATTTTATATGGTGTAAATATTTATAAGTTTTGCTGCAGATGTATTAATGCATTTTATTTTGGGATGCTTTTTCAGACTCATCATGAAGGTTAAGTAATATATGATATGTGTACCAAGTTTCCTTTTTGGATTTAAAAGAAAATTTTGAATTCTAAAATATGTTTTCTCAAGGATTTCTGGATAAGGACTTGTGGATCTGTATGAGCACATAGGTGTGGATCTCTCTAGAGAGAAAATAATTGATAAATCATACTCTGGGAACTTCCTAGTTAGTTTTACAATTTTTTTTAGTTTTCTCTACAAGACAGCTAGCATTTTAGATCTTCTTTTTATCTAGTTTGCTTAATTTAGCCCTTGTTCCTAAACTAATTCGCTTTCCACTTAGCCAAGCTGTGTCAGTGGAAGGGGCTCTAGGTCTTTCTGCTAAGCCAAAGCTAATCAAAGTTGGGATAGAAATCAGAATTCATCAAAAAAATGTAATCATAAATTTGAGTTATGTCACCAATCTATTTTTTTTTATGTGGGAATTAGAGTTTAAAGCAAAACAAATGAAACAAAATAATATTGGAAGATAGAGTTATCAAAGTCAGGATAGAGTTTCAAAAATCATTATGGGTCCATCTCTTGAGGTACTATTGGAGAGGTAAATCATCAGCCCCAAATCTTTGTGCACATTCTTATTTACTTATAATAAATTTTTGGAGTTAGAATTACTTGTCAAAAGATAAAAACATTTTTGGGACGCCTGTGTGGCTCAGTCGGTTGAGCGGCCAACTTCGGCTCAGGTCATGATCTCGCGGCCCGTGAGTTCGAGCCCTGCGTCAGGCTCTGTGCTGACAGCTCAGAGCCTGGAGCCTGTGTCAGATTCTGTGTCTCCCTCTCTCTGACCCTCCCCCATTCATGCTCTGTCTCTCTCTGCCTCAAAAATAAATAAACGTTAAAAAAAATTTTTTTTTTAAAAAGATAAAAACATTTTTAAAATTTCTTTTAATGTTTATTTATTTTTGAGAGACAAACTGTGAGCAGGGGGAGGGGCAGAGAGAGAGGGAGACACAGAATCTGAAGCAGGCTCCAGACTCTGAGCTGACTGCACAGAGCCAGATGCAGGACTTGAACTCGTAAACCGTGAGATCATGACCTGAGCTGAAGTCAGAGGCTTAACTGACTGAGCACTCAGGTGCCCTAAGATAAAAACATTTTTAAAGCTTTTGATATGTATTCCAAATTGCCTACCAGAAATTTCTACCAATTTACATTCTCCCAGAAGTATATAAATGTCCTTTTCTCAGTTTTTAGCATTTTACAATTATTTGCCATTTTTATGATTTATTTTATCTTTTTTAAATTTGATGAATGAAAAATAGTTACATGGTAGTTTGTTTTTTTTTAAATTACCAATGCTTAATAGTCATTTGTATTTCTATTTTTAAGATCCACTATATTTTGAATTTCTAAAATATAAATTATACCTCCTTGTATTCAGATTTATATATAAAAACATTCCAAAGACAGGTGTTAGTAATTTGGTTATGGGCATGATTGAAAATTGATTTATCATAATCTCTGAAGTATACTTGGAAAAGCAGTAATAAAGTTGCTTTGCTTGGAATATTTTTATTTACTAGATTATAACATATTATTTGACTTCAGAAAGCAGCTTTTCCTTCATTTTTCATGTTTTTAGTGTTTATTGCTTTTAAATTGAGTCTTGGGGCGCCTGGGTGGCGCAGTCGGTTAAGCGTCCGACTTCAGCCAGGTCACGATCTCGCGGTCCGTGAGTTCGAGCCCCGCGTCAGGCTCTGGGCTGATGGCTCAGAGCCTGGAGCCTGTTTCCGATTCTGTGTCTCCCTCTCTCTCTGCCCCTCCCCTGTTCATGCTCTGTCTCTCTCTGTCGCAAAAATAAATAAACGTTGAAAAAAATAAATTGTCTTACTTATAGTTGTCCTATAAAGTATTGTATTGTATCATCCTGTGTTTGATGCAGCATCATTACATTATTTTCTAAACTACATTGCAACACAGTAACTTCTTCTATGCTTACAAAGGGAGGCTTGAAATAGTACTCTGTCATAGTATTAGAAAAATTTTTTCTGCAGAATGAAAACACAGATTGGTGTCAGCAATGAGGGGAAAGGGAGGAAACTATGTAGGGATAAAGAAGGGAATGAAGCTACTCTTGTTCATCCTTTACTCCCAAGTTCATTCTTCATTACTGATGTCTCCAAATAGGAGACACCTTAGGATTAGTTTTGAGCTTGTTTCTTTTTGTTGTATTAGAAAATCAAACAAGTACTATTATAATTTTAAATGTTCTTTTAACAGCATGATAAAATATGTGCCAGGAGGTTATAGTGGTTTTTATTTCCATTTAAGCTTTGGCAAATCCCTTTTGGTGCTAAGTAGTTAAAAAGAAAAAAAAACATTTTTGTAGAGAAGCCTTAAAAGCATATATTATAAAATGTCTTAATGTTAAATAATTATATGAAATATTTTACAATTATCTTACCAATTTAGATTTGCCTGAATAGTTTGCCTCCCCCTCCCTTTGAAATTGATAACTTATGGTAAAAATAACTATAAATCTTATTTGCACGCTGAAGTATATGTTAATAAAATATTTTAATAAGAATTTAAAACTAAAATTAACTTTGTATTGTGTTCAGTATTTTTCCAAAATATATCTATTTGTATAAACCTAGTGGCATGGCATATCTTAAAATCATGATGGAAATAATTTCCCATCTGTTTTTTAGGCAACAAGTAACAGAAATTATATTTGTTTTAAAAGCAGTCAGTACTCTCATTGATTCACTTAAGAAAACTCAGCCTGAGAATGGTAAGTGCTTAGAAACTCAGTTATTCTAAACTCATAACATTTATGTTCTATTTCTGATGTACTTTTCTATTATTAAGTTAACTGAATTTTAGGAACATAACAACTATTAGACTTCCTTTTTCCCAGTCCTTATGACAGCAAAGCATCAAGTCCATTAGGATGTCAATTAAGTAAATGTTTTAGCTTCTTAATATTAAACAACAGTTTGGCTTTTTTTTTTTTTTTTTTATTTAACTAAGTTGGCCTGAAGTTAGGGTGTTGCATGGATAATTAGTATTTCGTATAAGTTTAATGTGGAGCATCACTGAGTTTTGGGTGGGAGTAGCCTTCATCCTGCATGTGTACTGAATTATGGTATAAGTATAAACTGTTCAACTTTGAATCATTTTGTAGCCTTATCTCATTTGTTTCCCCTTTCTGTTACTCATCTCTCTTCTCTCCGTTCTTTACATTGTTGCTAGAAATGATTTTTCCAAAAGTGCAGCTTTGATCATTCATTTTCCCATCCTTGTAAAACAAAACAAAAAATTTTCATGTACCATTACCTACCAAATGCAGAGAGTACTATTGTCAGCCTCTATTAGGTTTATGCTTTATTTCCACTAGATTTCACGTATCCTGTTTCCCACCAAACTAAAATTTTCAGTCTACCCAAGTTTTTCTAACCTTTTGCTTATTTCATTCTCCTACCTATGTCTACCTAGTTCAAATACCACTCCACTTTTTAACCTTGTTTTTTAATCTTTAGTGGTGAATGATTTCTCTTTTCATTGAACTCGTAGCTAGTTTATGTGTACCTTTGTCCGAAGGTACTCTATATGTATTACTGTTACACATATAGATGAATCAGTCACTTCCCTTAGCTTGTAAACTTCTTGAGAGGCTTTTTGGGCCATATTTTGTTCTATTTGAATCCTCTACAGCATTGCTACTCAGAGTGGTTTGTTTGAGGATAGGATAAAGAGCTGGCATATTTGTGTCACTAAACACAGTGGTTTAGTTGACATTTTTTATACAACAAGAGTTTGTTAAAGAAGGAAGTGTGTTGATTTACATTCTGGCCCAAGCACATTAGCAGACTGGTACTTTACGCAGCATTACTTTTAATACCCAAGAAGAAGGTTCCTAATAAATGAATCATAGGATATTTGTTCCTGGCAATTATTATGTAATAAAAGTAAAGACATATTTTTTCATTTTCAAAATTTACCCACTAGTACTTTGGCCTAGAAAGAGTATTTTACTAAACCTTAAGGAGTAATAGATTTGTACTTATTCAATACAAAGTGAGGGGGGTGGAATTTGGTGGTTTTTTTTTTTTTAATCTTTCTTTATTTTTGAGAGAAAGACAGAGTGTGAGCAGGGGAGGGGCAGAGAGAGAGAGGGAGACACAGAATCTGAAGCAGGCTCCAAGCCCTGAGCTGTCAGCACAGAGCCCAACGCGGGGCTCAAACTCACAAACTGAGATCATGACCTGAGCCGAAGTTGGGCAATCAACCGACAGAGCCACCCAGGCGCCCCGGGAAGGGTGGAATTTGTAAGAAAATTTTTGGAGCAATATCTTGACTTCATCCCATCAAATTCAAATTTGAGTTCTCATCAAAAATGTTCTGGTTGATATTTTAGAGAGAGAAGTCATGCATTAACTTCCTAGTGACCAGTAAAATCTTTATTAGATCATAGGATAGAATTGGATTCTTAATTCAAGTCTAAAATATATTTTAGACTTAAACAGGAAATTCTCCAATTCCCATGTTATTGCTATAGTATATTAAATATAACCAGTATATTTCAGTGCATAGTGCTTGCATTATTTTGTAGAATTTTTAGACAGCTGTCAAGAATTTAACCAAAATTTGTATAAAGGAAGAAGGGAATCGGGGCGCCTGGGTGGCGCAGTCGGTTAAGCGTCCGACTTCAGCCAGGTCACGATCTCGCGGTCCGTGAGTTCGAGCCCCGCGTCAGGCTCTGGGCTGATGGCTCGGAGCCTGGAGCCTGTTTCCGATTCTGTGTCTCCCTCTCTCTCTGCCCCTCCCCCGTTCATGCTCTGTCTCTGTCTGTCCCATAAATAAATAAAAAAAAGTTGAAAAAAAAATTTTTTAAAAAAAAAGGAAGAAGGGAAGAAAAACTCAGTAACTTTTTTTTTTTTTCATAGCTAGTGGGCCAAGAATAGGGCAGTGTAGTAATGGTAAATGATTTAACTTACTGTTAAAAATTGTCTAAGAGAGTTTGAATTGTGGCTCTGGATATATGAAGTGAAATTTTAAATTAAATGTAACCATAAATGAAGATGATATTGTAACATATTAGAAAGCTATGATAAGCTTCATTAAGAAACAGGAAAAAAGAAGATAACTAAGAAAAAGCCAAGCCTTTCCAGTGGAAATATGTTGGATTGCTCGTTGCCAGTCCAAAATTGTTTAAAACATTAGTCATTTGTGTTAGGGTTTTCTAGTGAGAGAGGAGGCATTTTTTGGACTTATTTTTAATTTGGGGGAATTTTGTTTTTATCATTTTACTTGATCTTTACTTTAAAATTTGTATAGGTAACCCTCCTACAAAGGCATGTCTGTAGTTCCCTGTCTTTGGACACGTAAGAATTGGAGGAAAAGAAATGTAGACTTGGAGAAGTCTGGGGCCAGCTTGCTCCATTGCAGGCTCCAGATCAACCATCCAACAGAGAGAGAGAGAGAGAGAGAGAGAGGGAGAAAATAGAATTTGAATAGCTAGTAACCACATACACATGTTTCAAAAATTCAAAAATATACAGGGAAAAGTTTTGAGATAGCTTTATCCTATTTTATATCTGCCTAGTTCTTACCTCGCCATAGGTAACCATTTAACCATTTTTATTAGTTTGTGGATCTTTCCATGAGTTTATTATATAAATACAATATATATATACTCCAGTATTCGCCCAGTTTTAAACATAAATGAATATGCATAGTAGCCCCATATTATACCTACTGTCCTGAATACTCTTTATTTTTCTCCGCTTCATAAAATTTGGAGATACTTCCATATCAATACATACAGCTTTTTCATTCCTTTTGATAGGTAAGCCCAAGATCTGTAGTGGGATTTTTTTTTTTTAATTCATTTCTTTACTTTGGGAGAAAACACAGGTGGGGGAGGGGCAGAGAGCAAAAGAGAGAGAGACAGAGAATCCTATGCCAGCACAGAGCCCGATGCATAGCTCCAACCCACGAACCATGAGATCATGACCTGAGCTGAAGTTGGATGCTCAACTGACTGAGCCACCCAGGCACCCCATATGTATGGTAGATTTTAAAAACTATATTTTAAGAAATTTGAAGAGCCTTCCCTGAGTTTAGGATGTGATCTTAAACAGTGTATTTTTAATATATATATATTTTTTACATTTATTTATTTTTGAGACAGAATGTGAGCAGGGGAGGGGCAGAGAGAGAGAGAGAGAGAGGGAGACACAGAATCCGAAACAGGCTTCAGGCTCCGAGCTGTCAGCACAGAGCCTGATGTAGGGCTTGAACCCACAAACCATGAGATCATGACCGGAGCCGAAGTTGGATGCCCAGTCGGCTGAGCCACCCAGGGGCCCCCTTAAACAGCATATTTTTTTATTTTCCAGAAGTAAACCAAGAATTAATTTTGTCAGTTGACTGTCCACCTGGAGCAATCTAAATAGGTTTCAATCTGTGCAACCTTTTTTTTCCCCCAGTTTTTCTGTTGTTGCAAAATACACATAAAATATTTATCTTCAGCCATTTTTAAGTGTATAGTTCAGTGGTATTAATTAATTTCATAATAGTGTGCAACCATCACCATGATCTATCTCCATAACTCTTTTTATCTTGTAACTGAAACTCGACACTCATTAAACAATAACTCCTTATTCCCCGCTCCTCCTAGCTTCTGACACCACCATTCTATTTTCTATTACTATGACTTTGCTCTCGGTATCTCATATAAGTTGAGTCATAAAATACTTGTCTTTTTGTGACTGGCTTTATTGCTTAGTATAATGTCATTGAGTTTCATTCATATTGTAGCATATTGGAGAATTTCCTTTTTAAGGCTGAATAATATTCCATTGTGGTGTGTGTGTGTGTGTGTGTGTGTGTGTGTGTGTGTGTGTGTCTCGTATTTTCCTTATCCATTCATCCATTGGTAGACACTTGGGTTAATTCCACATTTTAGCTATTGCGAATAATGCTGCTATGAATGTGTGTACAGGAATCTCTTCAAGACCCTGCTTTGTTCTTTTGAGTATATACCCAGAAGTAGAATTGCTGGATCATATGGTAGTTCTATTTTTTGTTTTTTGAGGAACCACTGTATTATTTTCCACAGTGGCTATTACCATTTTACATTACAACCATCAGTGAACAAAGGTTCTAATTTCTCCACATCTGCACAAATACTTGTGTTTTTTTTAATTTTTTGTTTTGATAGTAGCCATTTTAATCAGTATGAGTTGGTATCTCATTGTAGTTTTGATTTGCATTTCCCTTATGTTGGCGACGTTGAGCATCTTTTCGTGTACATTATTGGCCATTTGTATATCTCCTTTGGAGAAATGTCTATTCAAGTCCTTTGCCATTTTTTGAATTGAGTTGTTTTTTGTTGTTGAAGTCCCTTTGTTTACACCTCTATGATCAGAAGCAGCGATCAGAGCACAGATACCCAATATTTGGAGGATATGGTCTTTTTGCCCACTGTGGCCTGCTGCAGGCAAGCTGCTCCAGGAACACGTGCACAGCTGCCTACCACATGGCTAGGGGTGAGGGATGGGTAGCTGCTACTGTGCTAAGAGCTGAAATTGACCAAAATTAACCACAATATACTATCCAAGTCTACCTCTGGAAGTTGCAAGCCTTCAGTAGACTCCAGAGTTCCAAAATAGTTGTATCAAGCCGATTCTGCCAATACAATTGTTGTCTAGGTGGGTAGACAGATTCCAGGTACTTCCTCTCTGCCATTCTTCCAGAATCCTCTCTGTGCAATCTTTTGTTAAATGATTAGTGGAAAGTTTCATAGAAGACAGCTGGAGCAGACTGTTTAAAACTTCTCTTTAAACTGTTTGTTTTCTGTTAAGCAAGGAAAATTCTTTTTACAAATGAGATCTCTTATGGATTCCCAAGATATAAAACAGATAAAAACAGCACTGGCCTGAGTCCCTCCTTCACCATTACCCATCCACTCCCCTCCCTTTTTCTTTTTCCCATTTCCAGTCTGAGGAAGCCTCTGTTTGGGTGAAGAAGGGATTGCATGAACAGTTCAGCATTTCCCAAGATTTGTACTCAGGAATGAATATTAATGATGATGAGTGATGTCAGTAGATATTGAATGTAAAAAAATCCCATAATCAAATTAATTTTGGAAATCCTGGATTAGATAAAGTTAAGCCTCTTTTTTACTGCAAGTTTTTAATAAATTCGTGTGAATTATGAATCCCCCAAAAGGAAGATAATATATACAACATGTGCCAAACTTCCCTGGTCATTGTTTTTATAAGAAGTATTTTGAAGAATACTAGTGTAAGAAATGCATTCCTTTATTCTCCAACAGAAGCTGAGATAAAGAGAATTGGAGTGAAAAATAGAATCAAAGTTCCTTGTGTATAATATAGTATTTTTCTTTTATGCTAGACTGCCTCCTGGATTTGAGACTTGTTTCATAGTGTCGTATACATATACTGTGTAACAAAATCTGTCAGCTGGTTTTGTTGCGTATTGCACGCTCAGCAATATGCACAGCATTTACAGAAAAATAGACATGTAATATGTGATCTCAGAGTATAAGGAAATTATAAACTAAATGGGATGTAACACTTTTTCCCATTCACCAAATAGTGTTCAACTGTACTACTTGTTGGTGATAGTGGAGAGGAACACGGACGTGTCTCTTCACACTGAAGTTTAAATCTAGTGATATCTGTTAAAGATTAGGAAGCAGTACAAGAGAAGAGTGGATCTTTGGTCACTTGAAACTAAAATCAGTATCAAGGACATTACTGGGGAAACCATTTAAATATTTATATTTTTAGCATACAACTGCATAAGAAATTGAGTTGTTTTCTAATTCTAATTCTTCTTGAAATATGCACTACATTGTCTGGCACTTACACTGAAAATGACAGAAGTTTGAATTCCAAGTTACTTTGTTAGCTTCCAAGGCCTTCACAAATTGAAGTATCATTTAGAATGGACTTTAGCACATTCCTTGGTATGGATGACTCTGTACTCTGACCATATGTTTCCCCCTCATATCTTATTCGATCTATCGGGAAGTCTTCCAAAGATTAAAAAAGAAAAGGGTATAAGCTTGTGGAATCTCCATATTGGGGGATTTTTTTCTTTGCCTTGTATTTAAAGGATTGTGTTATTTTAATTGGATAATCTCTGCTATTTAAATACACATGTTTTTGAGATTTTATACTTTTTAATTGCAGTTGATGGAAATACCTGGGCACAAGTGATTGCTTTATACCCAACTCTAGTCGAATGCATCACCTGCTCGTCTGCAGAAGTCTGCTCTGCACTTAAAGAGGCACTCGTTCCTTTTAAGGATTTCATGCAGCCACCAGCATCCAAAGTTCAAAATGGAGAATCTTGACCAGCTATAATAATTTTAAAGAAGAAAGATTATCTAAAGACTGTTTGATCTTCAGTGAGTCTTCTATGAGAAGGACATTTCTTACTACCAATAATTCTTGGCAGCTGTTGTTCGCCTCCTTTAAATTGTACTTACCTGAGTTCAGTAATTCATATTACAAGCTTACATGTCAACAAAGGCTCCTGAGTGAGCAGCGGTGGAAGCCTTTAGTAGGTTAAACTGATGGAGAGTTAGTTAATACTGCAACATACCTGCTACTGTATCTTCAGTTGGTGATTTAAAAGTGAGCTTATGTACAGTTTGTGGTGTATGTGTTAATGATGTACTTTTTAAAAAGAAAGAAAAGATATTTCATTCAGTCAGATTTATTAGGCTGGTGTTTTTGCACCCTTTTTCAAGTACAAATTGTACTAAAATTTTATGCAAGATGGTACTGTAACATTCCATATTATCTATAACCAGCCTTTGTAAACAAAGGGAACTGATAAACGTGTGTATAATAAATGGTACAGTTCTGTATAAAATAGTTGCATTTATTATTTAAATTTTTAAAATATTGATAATGTTAAATGCTTGAAGCTGTATTTATTATTAATACAAAATTGTTTGCTTTCATTTTTACTTATAATTTGCCTTCTTAAGTGGCAGGTATGCTTACCATATGATCATGCAGTTATCTTTAGTGCTTATTTTAAATGTATTTACTAGTGACTATTAAACATCTGACCAGAAAGGTCATGTGAACACAGCAGCAAATAGTTTATGATTTGCTGATTTTGCAACTTTGAAGTATAGTTATTAGCTTAATACATTGGGATATATTGTAGCATTCTGACTCCGTCATACCTCATTTCTTTAAATATCTTTCCCAGCTTTCATGTAAGTCTGTTTTTATATTTGGTGTTTGGATTTTAAAGACTTTTCATATTATATTTCTACTGATTTTCTTTTTCTCACTGACTAAGCATTTATCACTGTCTTTGAATTATGATCCAGGCAAGATGATTCCAGATTTCCTAAATTTTGCCTGTGAAGTTTTGTTCATTTCAGTGCTTCATTTTGTAATGTCTTCTCAAGAAAAAAAATAACTATGCCAACCCATAAATATAAAATGTGTGTGTGTTCTAAAACAATGAGAAGTGTATTTTTGGAGACAGTGAAGCATTTAGAAGTACAGTAAACTTTCTGTCATGGAGTGAATTGCTAATTTTGTTTCACTTTTCTATCTTAGTGAAGAAGAAAAATGCTCTTGAGTACATTACTTGTTTCTTAAAAAACTAACCTAGCTTACTGTATTTTTTATTTAATGGATTGTGGTATTATCATATTAGTTACATTTGCATAAACATTTATGTGAAGACACAAAGATGTTTAAAACAATGATTAAGAAATCATAATGGTTTCAGTATTATGTTAGTGTGCTGGAAGTCCTTTGATTTTAATAGAATTTATACATTGCAGCCTCTCCAGAATAATTATAAAACTAGGAGAAGATATTAGAATTGAGTAATGAATGAGATACAATTTTGAGGCTGTTGTAATTGTGAAATTATTTAATTTGCACTATTATCTGTAAACATGGTAAGCTTTTATCGAGGAGATATTATTTTTATTTACATGAATTAATGAATTTCTATTTTATAATTTCACCTAAAATTAGGGTAAATTAATATGGCATTTCATAGATTCTGTCTTCAGCATTTTCCTTAAAGTTGTAAAAAAGAAAATACCAAGCTGTGTATTCAGTTTATTTCCTATTTTTGGATATGTTACATTGGGAGTTAGAAAGATCTGCGTATCATTGATAAAGTACTGAAATAGACTAACAAGGGTAGTGTGCCAGTTAAGTAACATGTTAAAAATATTGTCATGAATTTACATGAAGTGAAAATGTTTATTCCTGAGAAATAATCGATTGATTGCAACCATAAAAGTTATTCTCCAGTGAAAGTTAAATACAAATCAAAGGTATACAGCATACATTTATATAAGTTGAGTAGTTTTAGTTAATATCGTATTAGCCTTCAATACCAGGACCATTCCCTATAGAGCAAAGCATTGAATGTGTTGATACCATAGAATATGGTAATCGGTGCCAGTCTTAGTGACAAGCAAAGTGGGCTGCCCGCTTGGTGGTATAATTTGACAGGTTTTTTTCCTCCCAGAATATCTCCTGCCACCCCAGGGGTCACTATCAGCAGTTCATCCCTTGAGTCACACATTCCTCTTAGTCTGTACATTTTCTAAGATATCCTGGTTCCTGGGGAGGTTAACACCGTGAGTGCCCTTGTCTTGTTGGTGTGAATTGGGTTCTGTAGTGACCAGAAGAACTGGGCTGTGTGAGATTACTAGATAGTATGACATTAAAAAAGGAAGTTCTCAAGGCTAATATCACTTTACAGCATAGCTGATACTATGACTAGTCCTTGAAGCATTAGTAATAATGTTCTTTGGAACACATATTATAAATACCACGAGTTTTAAGCCTAATATCATTTTTTTTTCACTGACCATGCCTTTCTTAATATAGATTGTCAGAGGGCAGGTATAATCCAACATCAGATTATAGTCCTTCCATAGCTTTTTTCCATTATAAAAGAAACAAACAAATTTTCAACTTGAATAGCTTACTTTTTATTTTCCTACAATCCTACCACTGCCAAAAAGGAAAAGAAAATAGGTAATTTTGTAGTGTCTCATTTAGTATTTCTGTATAACTGGTGTTAAAATTTTGTTAGTTTTACTGAATAAGTAACACTTATTAGGAGCCTGTAGGGGCTAAAAGAAAAAGAAAACGCATGAAAGTCTGGCCAAGAGAAAACCACTTTCACTTGCTTTCATTTTTTTAAATTCTTTTTAATGTTTTTATTTATTTTTGAGAGAGAGAGAAAGAGAGAGACAGAGCACAAGAAGGGGAGGGGCAGAGAGAGAGGGAGACACATAATCTGAAGCAAACTCCAGGCTCCAACTGTCAGCACAGAGCTGGAAGCGGGGCCCAAGATCATGATCCTGAAGCAGGGCCCAAAATCATGAAGATCGTGGCCTGAGGTGAAATTGGACGCTTAACCAACTGAGCCACCCAGACGCCCCATCACTTGCTTTCGTTTTTAATTTTATTGTATTGATAGCTATGTTGTTTCTTTCCTGTTTCCCGCCTATTCTTCCTATAATCCTTAAGTTATATTTAGCACCAGAAGGAAGAGATGAACAATTTACACATGTATTTTATTCCAAAGAGTAACACTCATTTAAATTAATTCTATAACAAGCCAGTAACAACTAGGTTGTCTTTTCTCACTGTAACGTTAGAGTAAGTATTTTGCTTATTGTCACAGTTTGGTAGCACTAGTCCCAGGTGACCCTAAGGCCAAAGGATCAGTTGTGAAACTGAGGGTGTGGGGCGCCTAGCTGGCTCAGTAGGAAGAGCATGGAATTCTCAATCTCAGGGTTGTGAGTTCAAGCCCCACATTGGGTGTAGAGGTTACTTAAAGTGAGGATGAAACAGCATAGTGTAGAAAACAACACAAAAGTATTAATGAGGTTGTCATTTTTATACTCGTGTTACTGAAAAACAGTTTATTATACAGTGACCTAATATAACATAGTCTTCCCAAATGTACAATAATTCAGATAGGCAGCCAAATCCTCAAGAGACTACCATAGGTGATAGTATAAGTACTATCTTATAAGTATCTACTATACTATAAGTAGAATGCTCTCAGGAACCCACCTGCCTGTGATTGCTGTACAATTTAATGTTGGTGATTTAGAAGCCATAGATATAATGTCCAGGCCAGGACATTTTATTTTTATTTTATTTTATTTTATTTTATTTTATTTTATTTTATTTTATTTTATTTTATTTTATTTTTTTAATTAAAACTACCATGGATGTGGACAAAAATAGCCTTATGAAAGTATTGCTAGCAGCCTAGTGTGTCCTTTAGATGTCTACAGATTAGGTTTGACATTATGGCAGATATGCTGACCTTGTATAAACTACCACATTTCACTGTGCTTCATGTTGCTGAGTTGTATATCAGAGTGCATTTTACTTTTTTTTTTTAATTATTGTTGATGATAACAGGTGTTCATACTACAGTGTGTTAGTGATTTTTGTATTATGGGAAAACAGTTTTTAATACTTCAAAATCACTTAAATTGCATTTTTTGTATCTGATAAGTAGAGTAGTGCTTTCAATTTGAAATTTTTTATGGATTGGGAAAGAAAGTCTTTGTATCTTGATTTATGTAAAAACTATTTCATAGAAGTTAGGTAAATACCAATTTCTTACAAATCTAGTTAATTCATTTTGAGTGCACTAACAGTGTTGGCTCTCTTTAAAGGAGCTCCCAGTGAGTCCTCTTGTGAATATAAACACTCTTAGTAATCTTGACTTAGTTACCTTTAGGCATGTGTAAAGGGGCGCCTGGCTGGCTCAGTTTATAGAGCACACGACTCTTGATCTCAGAGTCCTCAGTTTGTGCCCCATGTTGGGCATAGAGTTTACTTAAAAATAAAAAACAACAATAACAAAACAATCCAGTAAATCATAACTTGAGGCACGTGAACTTTTCAAGGCTTCTATTATCATCTGTAAAGCACAGATGATAATGAGTTACTAATTCTTTGGAGAAAAATAATACATGGTTTGAACTTAGATTTGATTTCATAATGATATTGTTAGGTTAACTATTAAAATTGTTTGATAAATTTATTACTCTATAATAAATTTGACTATATATTTTTCTCTCGTTTTCTCCTGCATCACTTTCTTTCCTTCTCTTTCCCTTTCTTTAAAAAATTCTGTTTACCTTATCTTCTTTTTTAATACATTCTCCCCAGTTTTTCTATTTTTCATTCCTCTTTTATTTTCTGCCTCTTCTGTTCCAGCTCTTCCTTTAATTTCACCTATACTTTGTTCAAAAGAAGCAGAGCTATTAGTGGTAGCACCACTGCTAACTGCCTTTTTATTAAACGATATTCTGGAAATACCTTCTGCTTTGGCCACTGTTGCATTTTTGCAAAGGTGAGTCTCCCTGCTATTTCAAAATAGCTGAACAAGTTCTAGTAATGACTGTAGCTTCTACTATCTTTCTGAAACCACAGGGTTCAGCAGCCAGGATGCTCACAAATGGGATTGCTATGAATACGATGAATTCAGCTAAACCTGGAACAATTATGTCTTTTCTGTTACATGGAGAGAGATTATACCACTTTTCTGAAAGAGAGTTTTTAAAATCTGTTTAAATGAGGTTTTAAAAAATTATTTGGTTTCTTTTGGAGAGGGCTTTTTCTTTGTTTTTGGAGGCAAATGCTTTGAACTATTTTAGATTTATGTTATCTAAATATTATTTATTTACTTTCAAAAAAACTTGAGGCCGCATGTTGCCCATTTATTTCAGCTGTTTCTAATTTTCTGTGGCAAAACAGTATTCTTCAGAGAAGAGCCACAGCGTTACAGTACTCCTCTCCAAGTCTTTATAGAGTATATTTGGTATCCCTGTGCTTAGTGCTTACAGTGACACAGAGGTCAGTTGAAACATTCTTAATTACATTTTAGGATTGATTCTAATCCCTCAGGTAAGAAAAAAAAATTATTTTACCTTTGAATTCCGAGATCATTTCCAGTTGCTGCAAATGTAGTTATATCGAGTTTTATTTTAAACTAACATTCAATAGCGTGCAACCAGGGGAAGATCTGCTAAACCATGGCATTATTAGGAAACTATTGCAATATAGTAACTCATTTCTGTGAAGTCTTACTAGATGGGAGAAAAATGCCAAGATTGTAATATTGCAATCTTATTCTTTTTATCTAGAAAAATCAAATAAAATATTAGGCTTCAGACCCAACTGTGCAAATTGCATTTGCTTTCCAGCTTTTACTACCTCTGTGTCATAATTTTAACACATAACATACAACTCCTGTCTCTTAAGGCAGTTACCATATGGTGTTTATGTCAGACTGGATATATTTATCTAATTTTGTGAGATTCTTTTTTAGCTCCCAACACAGTTCTTGAAAGTAATACCGCTGTTGTTACACTTTCTCCTTACAATTTTTATGTTGTTGAGATGTATCAGTTATATATTATAATCATGAAGTCTCTTGGCCTCAAACCCAAGTTTTCTTTGTGGCCTAGGATATATTTTTCACAAAAACTGCATAGTTATAGCTGTGATTACATAGATTTTTAATTTGCTTTACAGTTACCACTCAGCACGATTCTAGGTTTTTTAATTATGTTCCAGCACTACTAGTTTTCTCAGGGTAACT